ATGCAGAGCAGCTCAGAACTTGTGACTTGCATGCAAGGAAATTTTATAGCTTGCTCTTCTAACTTTATTAGCAGTGAAGAATCTCAGTTGTAACTTTAATAAGTATAATTTAATTTTTACTATGATATTTTCAAGCACAGTACTTTTAGACTCTCTTTTCTCTGATGAGCCATTTGAAGTGCTTTTATATTCTGTCATTCAACCATAATTAATAAAAACTTGAAGATTTATGTGTGTTTTCTTGAATTTTCTCTGCTGATGAAGTGTCTTGACAAGAGATCAGTCCTATGTTGCTGCAAGTAAGATTGGCTAAGGTAGGTGCCATTTTAATTTCATTGCAACCACACCCACATCAATGAAAATATTTCATTAGAATGCTACCGCATTAGATCATTGATTTTTAAATAGATATTGTGCACACATGGGGTGTGACCAGAATAGGCGTGACCAGAATAGGCGTGACTGGAGACGTACGTACATACATACATACATACATACATACATACGGAGGGAGGGAGGGAGACTTCGCCTGAGTGGGGCGAGCTTATGCTCGCCCCAATAACTTTTAATTAACTGTTAATAACTCATTAAAAATGGGTGGACTCCTTGATGTGCCAACAGCAACTCTTCCTGAGACAAAGAGAGAGGAAGATGGCTATGTACTCATCTCCAACACACCCGAGAGCACCCTCTTCTTTAATCCAGAGACTAGCTTCATGCTTTCTTTTGGTATAGACAGACAGACTCACCCATCCTTCAAAGACAGGTCACTGGGCAACACTGTAAAACTAGATGCACTAGAACTAACATATTCCTTCATAAAAGAGTACAAATTGAGGGAATTCGAGGTCAATTGTGCCTCGGATCACGAGGAAAACTGTACCCACGCTGGCATTAGGAGACGACTGGAAGAGGGCGTGACTAAAGTCGGAGAAGAAGGTCTTTTTGTCGTATTTTTTGGCGGCCATGGGATCAATGATTCAAATAAGGAATGGGCACTGGCTCCGTCTGATTTCGATCACACATCTAAAACGTGTCTCACTTCGGCCATGCTAAACGAGTGTTTCCAATCGACCAAATGCAAAGCGAAGCATATTCTGATTATACTCGACTGCTGTTACTCTGGAATCATGGCTAGCGATATTACGAGAGACCTGACTCTAAATAACGCCCCAAGTTTTTCAAACGTGTACGTAGTTGCAGCCGGGACTGATAGAGAGAGCTCTCTAGCAGTGGGCACTCTTAGACATTCTATATTCTCGTACTTTTTAAAATACGCTCTAGTCCAGAAAAATTCGCCAAGGACTTTGATACCTTCCGGCTCCTTGCCGTTGCGTGAGGTTTTCGAAGAATGCAAGTCGTGTTGTAACGCTCTTTCCTCTCTGATCCTCTCAATTGATAAAGATACTCAGGACCTAGTCCTTGACAAGATGACGCCCTCTCTTAGCTACTTCAACCCACTCATTAGTGAAGGATTAGAAGAGGAAGGGGTGGAGGAAGTTGATGCTGGTTCAGCTGTACGACTCTCCTTTGTCATGGAGCTCATGAGAAAACACAGCTGCAGGCCAAACCCTAAGCTACACACAAAGTCATTTGAATGGCTACGCTCTATGGTACAATGGTCACCTTGTCCATTGTCTGTATTGGATGAGAAAGGCTTGCTTGAGGATTCAAGTGATAATGGCCGAGTGCTTAAAGCTGTCATATCACTCATCATGAAGTCAATAGCTTTGATTGAGTATATGCACAATAAGGACAATGTAGGCCATCCCTTTACGTTTCTCATTGCTTTTGTTCACGTTGTGGCAACTATTGATGTTGTCCATCCGCTCCTACCGATTGAGATTGACCACCTGTCGGAGGCCTGCTCCTTGTATTGTAATACTCAGAAGAAATACGGAGTTGATGATACCCGAATGCAAGCGTTGCTCAAAGACATGAAGGAAATGAAAGACTCGCAAAACTCGTCGTAATTTCAATTTCTATTTTTGTTTGTGACAACGGATGCTGCATTATTCGAATTGCAAGCATGGTCTCGTTTTATATACATGCCTCGTGCAATGGATATTATAATATATGAGTATTTTTCTAATGTCTTACATTATTTTAATGGACAATTACATGTGTACATGTAATTGTGTGTGTGTGTGAATGTGTGAAATCAATTAACGATATGTACCTCTACATGAATACATTAATAAAAGAAAAGATGAATTATTTTATTATTAAGCGACTATCATTTTAATCAAGTCCAGATGTCACTGTACATTTCATTGTATAATGTTGCCTGTTTTGTACTATAGTGATATTTTGCTGTTCACTTCAATTAATTATTAGTTTTTTTTATTGGCTAATAATAATTAATAAATTGGATGAGTATAAAATAGCTGGAGAACAAAGGCTGAGAATAGTGAGCTCTTTTGACCCAGGTTGGAGCAATAGAAGCATGTCGAGGTGCAGCTGTAGGAGTTTCAAACCTTTAGATGATCAGCTAGCTGCTTTAGCTGTCAGTAACTGTTGGTAAGGGACTGTATGCATGCTCTGTGATATCAGCTCTTTCATAATTAATAGACTACACGTATAGGGACTTATGTTGCTTTATAAATAGCTATATGGGCTATTCTTTCCTCGTTGGCTTGTTCCCCTGAGTTCAGTACAGTCTAAATGCTAGAAGACCTATCAAGATGATATTGCTAGGGTGCTCAGTTGTTTTAAAAGTATGACCTTTTTCTTAACAGACTAATGGTAGTAGCATTTATTGTCATTTTTAGGATTTGACTCTACTCTGTAAAGTGGAAGAACAAAGTTCAAGATTGTTTTGAAGGAGCTGAAGCAGAGACAAGTTGCTTGGTACTTTCAGTATGCAAGTAATGTAAAGCCAGAGCCAGTAGTGCAACTCGTGTGGCTTCATTACATTGAAAATGCATTGTGTAGCTCTGGCCAAATCCACAGCCAAGCATGTAGTACAATGACCCTTTCAAATCTATACTATACATGTGGAATATGCCTTGTAGTATGTGAGTAGTAGTAGCCAATACTCACGAATTGTGACCTCTCTATTTTCGTTAATGCATCCAAGACTCTTCAGTTGAAAAGTAAATCAGGCTAGTTTGCTCATCCTCCTCTTTTTCCCCATAATGACACACTGGCTTGGTATTTTTAGAACCAGTGATGGTTTTCCCAAGCATGTTGACAAAAGGAAGAAACATCCACACATCTAATGAATAATGTATATCATCACTTGGTCCAATGGGCATAGCCCATTCATTCCTTTCATTTTCATTTTATAGGCTATACTCTACAGCTACAAGGCTGCATGAGTTACAGTGTGTCGGAGCCGGAGGTTCCGGAGAAAGATAAAAGCCCATGCAGGCATTGGAATGACATAAACCGGTTGTACTGGTTTGTTCCATTGTTTGGTGCAATGGCTTAGCCTCCGGGACCTTGGACCTCGACACACAGTGCCATGCAAGAAATGACCTTATTTGGACATATCTATGACATAATAGCTGTGTAATTAATATCAAAACATTTTTATAAGATAAACCTTCTTTTCCTGTAGTAGTAGTTATCTTTTTTATAGCACTGCCTAATTTTTTCTACTCTATAGCTCTTTCTCTTTCTCTCTCCCTTTTACTTTCTTTATTCTTTGTCATAAGACATGTTAGTTCTCATCATTGGCTGGCTTCTGATTATCAATCAAACTTTCTTGGCACTAGCTGAAAGTAAGCTATGCACTAACATACACACACTCACCATCATGGCTAAATATACAATAACTATTATAATTATATGAAATCACTGAAGCTCTCTCTCTCTCAATCTCTTTCTAAAGGTGTAGGTGATTTGAGATTAGTCCATGAGAGGAAAGCAAATGCAAGTTATGAAGGAAGAATAGAAGTGTACTATGACAATAGCTGGGTGGCTATCAATGACAAGCAATGGTCTAAGAATGATGCTATGGTGGCTTGTAGGCAGCTTGGCTATGAAACTGGGAAAATAGGTAAGAAGGAGATTTGGAAGTGTATGACTATGTTCTCTTATATGCAGTTCCAATCGCCACTCGTGGTGGATATTATGGAGTTGGGAATGGAAGTATTGGGATTACTGACTTAGACTGTACAGGAAATGAGACCTTGCTATTGAGCTGTCCCTATACTGTGGACCAGGGGTACACTTACAAGCATTATGCTGATGGAGGACTGAGATGTGTGCCTAAATGTTAGTATAAACATACTAAAAAAACATGCTGATTATAAATTTCCTGTATATACATAGAGCTTTAAAATAGAAGTATATACAACAGCTTATTGTATGGAATTTTATCATTGCTGCAGCATTTATTTTTGTTATCATTAATTGTTATTATCTTAAGTCCCTTGTATTCCAGAATGCCTAAATAAATATTCTATTTCCTCTGTAGCTTTTAATCAATCAACATGTGAAACCGGTGATGTACGTTTGGTAAATGAGTCAACAAGTAATCTTGGCAGGGTTGATGTTTGCATCGGAAATGAGTGGGGGACTATTTCCCGCACAAACTTTGATCATACTGAAGCTAGAGTAATATGCCGCCAGCTTGGATACTACGACGAATGTGAGTATATTGAAGCACTATATTATACTGAAGCATAGTGAGGAAGCATCACATGATATTTTATATGCCAATTTATGTACACACACACACACTCACGGGATATCTGTGCATGCAACAATAATGATTACGTGTCTAATTAAAGATATAGCCTAGTGTATGTATGCATGTAAGATGTCCAATAATACTTTCCTTACTCGTATGTCTGTATGTCATACAACACAACAATAGGCCTACAGCATGGCTTAAGGGCTGAGTCCTTAATGTTTTACATTCTACTAGTTATGTGTCTAATTGACTGTCAAAAGAAATTTTAAATTGAAGTCATTTGTGGGCTGTCGGTTATCATAGCCCATTCATCCAGCAGAATTTTTGTTATTTTTTAGTTGCCCAAAATAGAGATAGAGGGTTTGAATTAGGGCTGAACACAAGTCCTGTACTATTGAGTAGAGTCAGTTGCATTGGGACAGAATCAAGGATCCTGGACTGCAACTACAATGGTCCTTCATCAGCTGACAGGCATAACAAAGACACTGGTGCCTTTTGTTTTGACAAGCCACCAAGTAAATATAGTACATTTCCATATTTAACTTGTGCTCTAATGGGAAATGGATGTTCACTTTCAGAATGTTGTTTAATCTTGCTATCAGCAGTGCAATCCATTAAAAAGGAATAGGTATGATTTTTAGAGTTTTTTTAGGTCCAGAGAATTGTCAGTTTGGTAAGATACGTCTTGTAAATGGTACAAAAGAAGGAGAAGGAAGAGTTGAACTGTGTATTGCTGGACTATGGGGAACAATAACTGATGATTCATTTGGTACAAATGATGCTAAAGTTGTGTGCAGGCAACTTGGATATAGTACTGAGAGTAAGACGTGCTTTCATACATTGATAAACAAAGTTGTGCATGTGTGTCTGCAATCATGTACTCATCAATATCTGTAGTAAATAGTCTAGAAATTACAATTTCTTTTAAACAAAGACCTCTTTGTCAAGAATTTATAAAATATTGGCATCATGTTTGGAGTTCATAATGTTATTTTAGTACTTTAAAAAAACAAATTTAAAACTGCTAATTAGGCATCAGTATTACTCATGAATAGAATTACTATTTTGCAGTAAAGAAATGTGCTATACTATACTTCATCTATTATATTTGATGCATTGAAATTCCCCCCCTTTTCATGCAGACCCAATTGTTTACAAAAATGCTCATTTTGGAAAAGGTTCTGGATACATTTATTTGGATAATCTAAAATGCAGTGGAACAGAAGAAAAAGTACTAAACTGTGGATACGTAACTACTGTTGGTGCTGACACTCATGATGAAGATGTTGGAGTCAAGTGTCAGGTAACAAACGTTACAAGTAAGTCAATCCTTATGGTCATAATCAGTTCAAGTGCCAATGTAACATGCATAATGGCATGATAAAAGATGCAAATGAAAAGTGAGAAATGTTTTGTAGCTATTTTAGACCAGGCTGCATATGCCAAATTCCAAATTTAAATTTGTTTTTTTAAACTCAGTGATTAATTTGAATTGAAATTAAATCAGAAGCTGGACTAATGCTAATATTAGAATTGTACTTCTCTATTACAGGTATGATGGACATTACCAGTTCAACCCTGACGGTAGCATCAACTAAAGTATTGATGACTACCAATGCAATGACGATTGTGAGACCAATGCCTACAATTAGATCAACAGAACAAGTTGATTCTAATGATGACCTTATTAGGAATTGGCTCATTGCTGCCGGTGCTACTGTCATTGCACTTGTAGCATTAACAACGCTAACTATCATTGCGGCACAGTGAGGAATATAAAATACTATAATTTTTGTGATGTATTATTAATTTTTAGTTACATTGTAAAGAAAAGAAGGATTTATTCAGGCATTGCACAGTTTAGCAGTAGGGATTTTGATGAAAATCAAGTTATCCTCCAGTAGAAATTAAAAAGCCAGCAAACAACAGTTCATTAATAATAATAATATCTTATTATTAAAAGTTATTAATAAATATTAATTAATCGTAATGCGTGACACGTGGGTCCACATTTTCAACGTCATTTTGATTTTGATGATTCATGTCATGAGTAGTTGACGCAGGTTTCCTGTATTTGCAATCAACTTCTGGAGAGACTTCACCACTTCTCTGACTAATCTCATACCGGAAGTTTTCCAAAAGGCCAAGTATTTATACCGTAAAAATTCTAATTAACGAATGTGACTACTGGAATATATAAATTAGTGCTCTCCGGTTCATGTTCACATGTGCTTGCCCGCAGCAACTGAAGGGCTTGTATTTTAGCAGAGCTTTAGGTCTGCTTTGGTTTGTTGCTTAACAGTAGCAGGGCAATCAGAGGTAAGAGCGTTGGTTTCCTAACTATTTTATACACAAATCCTTCTCTCCAGCTCTGCTGTAGTGTTCTACTACTCTTTTCTTGATAGACAAGGGAAGGTCCAGGCTGAAAGTCTGGCTTCTTGTTTTTCTGCAATGTTTCAAACAACGCCAGCTATTCTTTTGGGAATAGCTCTCCTATTCACTGCTGTTTCAGTCACTCCAGTATCTGCTGGTAAGGCACTACAGTGGGATTTGTATGTACAGTAACTGGACGTACACTCTCTGTCTTGTTTACCTACTCCTGCTGAGCTTTTATTATTTTAAACCTTTTCTCTGTTTTCTTTTTTTTAAAGCATAACCCATTTCAGTTGACATAATTAAACAATATTAATATTAGTAGCAGTAATAGTATTTTTAAAAGTTATTTTGCAATAGCATTTACATCTGCTAATCATTATGTATCGTCACATGCTAAATATTGTCCATAGCAATTCAGCTATGTTATCCAAAGTTGCAGAATGAAGTACCTTTATATTATATGCCTGCAATCGATTGCATATCTGCCTGAGTGCCTGTTACTAGTCATTCACATGCTAATTTTTGCATTGATTTGTAATGCAGTAAGTGTCGCGGTATATATATATCAACTTTTTCCCATTTAATTTTATTTATGTTTTGTATTTTCATTGTTGCAGGTTCGTGTCAAGGGAACGGCATAACAGTTTGCTGTACTCCTGACAATTGCCCACAACAGATATCTCCCGATGGTTGCTACTGTGACACCACTTGCCACCAACATGGAGATTGCTGTGATGATATTGATGAAGTCTGCCCCACAGGTAAATAGCATTTAAATAAATGTGATTCCTGCTACTGTAGCATAATAATTATAATAAAGTTTATGCACACACACCCACACTCATCTTTTCTCTTAATGTATTAAAACCTTAAGTGTGATGTGTTTTTTACAAAAATGATTGCATTTATTTTTTAGCATGCGTACATGTTCAATAGTTTACAACAGTTCAGCGATTGTTGACTTAATATTGTGTACTTCTTAAAGGAGAGATTTCCAAAAAAGCACAGAAACAACATACACACACTCACACTGAGAAGCAATTAATAATGATTAATAGACCTTACTAAATAAAGTGAAACTTTTTTGGTTGAGGTGTGAGCTCGGCCAAGTGCTAAGTAGTGCCAGGTTAAGGTGACATTTGCTATGTGATTGTAAGTCACACTCGCTTATAAGGAAGTAAAAATAACTCTTATTTCACTCCCATAATTGCTTCTCTGAGCCCTTGCATTTATAGACACCCGCATCTAATCAGAATCTTAATCTTTTAAAGATTATCCATGGAAAGGGGCTGGTTCTTGTTGTTATAGTCAGTAGTAAGTAGGCAAGTCTTATTCTGCTCTGATTATCCAGTGTGGTCTACTTTTATGATTTCTTCTCATTAAGTGCAGTATGTAATTTATACCTATAAAGTCTTTCTACAAGGGGCTAAGCAAATTGTGCTTCAATTTCTGCCTATTGTGCTGTTAGGCATTGTCCCAAATGTCATCCTATTATCCTTTGAAATGAATTCATTTATGCTCATATTTCAATCTTTACTTAAATATCAACTATCAAGTTACATAAACATGCATATGTTATAATTGCAATAAAAATAATGCAAATGTTTCCAGTGACTTTGAAAATAGAATAACCTAAGTCATGTGGGCACTAAGCAGCTGTGTTATTATGTATATGTACTTATAAATATGATATAATAACACTAATTATTATTGTATTATTTAGAATCCTGTACCGATGGTGCTGTAAGGTTATCCGGTGGTTCCAATGCACAGGAAGGAAGAGTTGAAGTCTGCCTTGATGGGAAATGGGGGACAGTATGTCACCAGAAATGGAGCAATGCAGACGCTCGTGTTGTATGTAGACAGTTGAACCAATCCTATACTGGTAAGTAACACATGTATTTCTAGTGCATGTACATGTACATGTATATCAGTATTACTATGCACATTACACGTGTTGTTCATTATTATGTACAATGTGCTTGACCTTAGAAAATGAACATTAATTGTCTAATGCATAATGTAATAGCTAGGGCATATCTAATACATGTACATGTTTAGTGTATTTTTATTTCGTTCCAAGAGCTCCATGTACAACTAGCACTATTTTACTATAGTTCCAAGAACTAAAATCTATAGCTTACACTGTAGTACTAGAACTAAATTGGAACTGGTGTCTTAGTACTAAACTAAATTTACCAGTCTGGAACTAGAGCAATAAATGAGTATATTAGTATATTTTATTTCCATCTCTTTCAGTACAATATGAAGCTACTGTACTATATGCATTGTGAATACAATAGCTTTAAAGTATTAGTATTGTTATTTATTAACAGCATGGAGTGGCTCTATTATGCAGTGATTCAACAACCTTTTGTGTCATTTAAAAGTGTGTGGGTGAGACATGGTAAATAGTAACGTAAAGAAAATTTAATTTTAATGTCAATTGTATGTGTGTGCGTGACTGTGTGGGCTATAGACACGCTAACGAGTAATGGGTGTGTATTGAATAAGTATACATAATGGAGTGTTTGTTTCTTTATTAAGGACACCATTGGGCTCACACTACCTGTCCTTAATACATGTACAGTGTAGCCTCTTTATTAAGGACACCATTGGGCCCACAATACCTGTCCTTAATACATGTACAGTGTAGCCTTTTTATTAAGGACACCATTGGGCCCACACTACCTGTCCTTAATACATGTACAGTGTAGCCTCTTTATTAAGGACACCATTGGGCCCACATTACCTGTCCTTAATACAGAGGGTCCTCATTTCAGAGGTGCTTTTGTGTAGGTTTGTACCAATTGGGACATTACAAAATGTCCTCATTATGAAGGTGTTCTTAATGAGGCTATGGTTCATTGTGTGTGTGTATGTATTGAATGGTTTGATATGTCTATCTTATCAAAGCCAAATAGTTAAACTTACTTTACCACTGCTTGCAGTCAAATATCAACAATCAGAGGATCTTTCCTGTGGCCTTTTTGTTTTGAAAGGTCTTTCATTGAAGCATATCTCTTGCATACATGTATAAATAATGATGAAAAACTTTGTAATTATTTATTTTCATTGTTTGCATAATAATTATAATAGTAATAATAATGATACTGATATGAAAATGCTGTATGCTATATCACTTTACAATGAGAACACTGCCTATACAAAAGTACCTCTGAAATGAGGACACCTCTGTATTAAGGACAGGTAGTGTGGGCCCAATGGTGTCCTTAATAAAGAGGCTACACTGTACATGTATTAAGGACAGGTAGTGTGGGGCCAATGGTGTCCTTAATAAAGAGGCTACGCTATAATTTAATATGCTCGGCCATTATTGTACTTTTAAAGATATGATACGGGAAACGAACCAGCCAAAACATACTAACACGATAGCATATTAATGCACTATAGCTGTGGGTGGACAATGATGTAGTACTTAATGGGGTGAAGTGGTGTACTTCAATTAGGTATAAACAAGAATGACTTGTCCTAATACAAAACAATAGCATTGTAACATTTGCGAACAGGAATTAAGACAACAGGCCTAAATAATCATTCATCAAAACAAGTGCACACACACACACCACACACACACATGCACTTGCTTGTAAGTATTGGACCAATATTAGATAATTATTTTTAAATATAAGATAAATGTAGGATGAATTGGGAGCTTTAAAGTTAAACTTGTATTTACATGTACATGTACTTATTATTATAATTATTGTTATTTATTTGTGTATTACTTAATTGCATTATTATTATTATTAATGTTGTTATAATTGTTTATTTGTATTTTAAATTACAATACATTCCTTCTTATTCCTTTTACAGGAGCAGCTGGCGTGAGGAATGCTCGCTTCTCTCAAGGAGACGGGCCCATTCACATGACGTCCGTCAACTGCACCGGATCTGAATCCTCCATTTTTGACTGCAACTTTGACAACGAGACAATCGGCTGTAACCACGGGATGGACTCTGGCGTCATCTGCAGTCGAGCTACTTGTGACGATGGAGAGGTTCGATTGGCCAACGGGTTCTTTTCGTCTCAGGGAAGAGTTGAAGTTTGTCTCGGAGGTACTTGGGGTACCGTCTGTGATAATGCTTGGGACAGGCTTGACGCTGTTGTTGTATGCCAGCAGCTGAATATGAGTACTGACCGTAAGTCCATGGTGGGAGGGACAGAAAGACACTCCTTATATTGCATACTTCCATTTAACGGACAGCACCTAGTGTACCAATTACATTCCTTACTGTATAGATAAAATAACCTCCACATAAAGGACACATTTGTCCCAAAGTGTCTGTTAATACACAGTGGCTACTGGCTACACCATTGTTTCCCCCAAAGCATGCTAAGTGAGCTAAACAGCATGAGCTTCATGAGCTGACAAGTACTACAATACAGTACATGGCATTTGGAGCAACTTTTAAAATTCCTAAAAAATCCAATTGTGATTGGAATCAGCTCAAACTTTCTACACAACATAAGCACATGTATATGTATCAGAAAAAAAATTAATAAAATGGAAAATTCTCTCCTAGTGATTTTTCTTGAAATACCCTGTACTATAGTACAGGGTCTTTGGGCCGATTTTTGAACAACTTTTAAATCCACTGACAAGGCACTATACCAAAGTCAAGTGGGAAACCCTGGGTTACACTAGTACACTGATGTGATGTGGTGATAGTGCATGATGTAAAATGATTATCAGCTTTGCCTTGTTTATCTCATTCCCTATACAAATCATTTTTATAATTCATGTAAGCATGCCTGTATAGTATGTATACAATGTACCTATCTACATCTATAATGTACTAAATTAATTAGAGACATTTCTGAGTAGCACTTGGGCCACCTTGCAAACTTGCTAGTCAAAACTAGCAGTCAGACTAAGAGTGGATAGACAATACTGACAATACTCCAGTTCATAATAATATCACTGTTTATGTGAATGAACAATAGAGAGCTCTAGCCAACATTATGTCCAGTCACTGATGGAGTTAATTAGTAGCTGGGTGGCTTCACCAAGGTACCATTGCTAAGCAACTAGTAGTAATTAAGTTAATCTTGTTATACCTAATACATATGGAGAGATAGATAGCTGAGGTTTATATAGTATTACACCCACTTTACTTTCACACAAGCTTTAAGAGTATTAAACCTTTTGAAGTTCATATGTTCATGTATATGTCTTTATACGTAAAGTGTACTTGTAATCTTATTATTAATATATATGGAGAGATAGGAGAGTTATATACAGCATAATCAGTATTATACCCACTTACTGTCACGCAAGCTTTAAGAGTAATAAGTTTTATATGTACATGTCTTTATATGTACTTGTTTTTAGGTGTTCTTTCTGTTGGGAGAGCTCACTTCGGTTCGGGTAAAAGTGCCATCAACATGAATGATGTTCAGTGCAAAGGAACCGAGAGCAGACTCATTGACTGCAAGTACAATGAGAACAGCGACTGTACTCATGCTGAAGATGCTGGAGTGTTCTGTGGTATTAGATTAGGTAAGGAGGGAGGGAGGGAGAGAGAGAGGGAGGGAGGCAGAGAGGGAGAGAGGGAGGGAGGCAGAGAGGGAGGCAGAGAGAGAGAGAGGGAGAGAGGGAGGGAGGCAGAGAGGGAGAGAGGGAGGGAGGCAGAGAGGGAGGCAGAGAGAGAGAGAGGGAGAGAGGGAGGGAGGCAGAGAGAGAGGTGATCCACATGTACATTATGCACTTAAATGTGCATGTACATTTATACAGTATAACCTGCTATTCTGGACACTCTAAAATAAGAACACCTCTATAATCAGGATAGGTAGTATCAGTCCCAATACAATAATATGTGATGAAGCAATAGGGGTTGCTGCTATATGCTTGCCCAGAACTGTCAACTAATTAATGTCTGTCACATAATCATCACTTTACACATTGTACTTCAATCTGATTGGACACTAGATGCTACCATGCTTTCTCTCATGATTCTAGAACATTCTAAATGTATGATGTATATAATATATATATATATATATATATATGAGTAGAGAGTTGCCATTTTTTGACAAGATAATTTCTAAAAGAACACAGTCAGCCTCTCGGTGATGCGACAATATACAAGTTCAATGCACATGTACAGTACTCTAGTACATGCTTGGTAATGCCACATGAGTAATTGCATTAACTAATGTTTGAGTGTGGAATGGCAATAGGATTCTCTCAATGTTTTAGAAGTCTTATAGCTTAATCAGCATGCTTTGTTTCTTATACTACGTTTGCACTAAAGGAGTGGGCCAAACCTTGCTGAACCAGGCTGAGCTGGCCTTGCTGTACTAACCATGCTGGCCTGGTTTGGCCCAGTTCACTTCAGCTCAGTTTGGTTACTGTTTACACTATCAAATGAAATTGTGCTGACCCACTTTAAACAGGGCTGGCTCAGTTAAAGAAGCTAGTGTAAATGTAGTATTATTAATCATATTATACATGTACATGCACACTATAAAGACAATAATAATAATAATACTCTTATTGTTATTTTATTTATTTATTTATTTTATTTGATGCAGGCTGTATTGATGGTACTGTCAGACTAGCTAATGGCTCTAATGCTACTGAAGGACGTGTTGAAATATGTGTTGGGTCCTCATGGAGGACAGTCTGTGATGACGGTTGGGACAGATATGCTGCTAGTGTAGTCTGTAGACAATTGGGGTATCCTTCAGCAGGTGTGTACATGTACATGTATATAGTGTATGGTTGATACTGTTGTGTATTGACTGGAGAGTTTTACAGTGAATTTGATATATACAGTAGGAGATTGTACAATCCTTGCAACTAGAGTTTTAGTAGGTTTATCAGTGGTTGATTTATTATTGAGGATAAAAACTAAGTGGCTGTTACTTCCTTATAAGGAAGGCAAAGTAAATTTCCAATTTTACTCTTGTTGCAAAGACAGTGCAATCTCCTGCACATGTACGGTACATGTAGTGACAGTTTTTTTCTATTAATGTACACTCCTTGCTTTAAAATCACCTTTTACCCCTCCCTCCCTCCCTCCCTCCCTCCCTCCCTCCCTCTGTCTTCAGGTGCCCTAGCATTCAATGGTTCAATGTTTGGTCCTGGTGACTCCTCTTATGAGATACTCTATACCCAGGTCACTTGTACTGGGCATGAGACCAACTTAAGAGGGTGTGGCTTTATGACTCCGAACTCGTCCGATTCAAAGTGCACTCATGCTAGGGACGCTGGTGTGAGGTGTCTCCCTGGACTTGGTAAGGGAAATGATTATTAGTAACGTGTTTTATCTAACGTACTACTGTACATGTACATGTATGCATGTATATTTTTGTACACTGACCTACATGTACATGTACATGTATTTCTTTTTTAAATGATGCTACAGATGTTGAGGGTTACTGAGGATGTTAGTTGATTAGAAGCTGAGGCTTCTAATCAACTATCCTAGTGTATATCCAGTAACATGAAACAGCTGTAGTTTATCTGGTTTGGTACTGTATTTATGAAAGGCACTGTCCTCTAACTACCTGACTTGGCAGTTTTGATGGCACTTCTAACTACTCCTGCTGTGGTCTCCACTATATAATGTATTATTATTAGGCCAGTAGTTTTATACAGAATGGGCTGTCCCCTAGTTTTTTTTTCAATTGAAACCTAGCTAATATACTAGTATACTAGAATTTTACTTGTGCACTAAAGGTCATCTTATTCTAATACATTTACATGTGCATCTGTAACTGTAATTGTATATGTATTTATCAGTGAAGGTTCTTGTTGATTTTATTATTCCAGTGAAATTGGGCCCTTAAACTATTAATTAGTGAAATGTTGTAATTGGATCTAACCTCTTATGTAAACTAAAGACTTTTTGCTGCATGTACATGCATCAGTACATGTATGATTACATCCAGTTGAGTAATTTGACTGTCTTATCTCATTCATAATACTGGCCACCTGTTCCATATATCAGAGAGGTTCCCTTAGTCACCAGGTGCAGTTTAGGTAGTGTATTCTAGTGAAGGACAGAGAGAGAGGAAGGGAAGGTATACAGTCAGCAGTGACTTTTAGTGTGTGGGTGTGTGTACATAAGCTTACATCTTAAAGTATTTTTATAATGTATGTTTTGTACTGTTTAATTTGCATCTAACACATTAAAGAAATTAAAAGAAGTTTTCTGTCTATTCATATGCATGTACATGTATGCATCTAACACATAAAATAAATATATATTTTTTTAATTCATATCCATGTACATGTACGTGTATGGATGTTTCAAGTTTTTTGATTGACACATGAAGATTTGTAATGCACATACATGTACATGTACAATGTGTTTCCCAGTACCTTCGCATGATATACACATGTACATGATGCACATTGTACATTGCATTGTTAGGTCTAGAAAAATTTTGGGAGACAAATCTAACTAAAATGGGAGACTACATGTAGGCTAAATAATAGAAACCAAAAGCTGAAAAATGAGAGATGTAAGGATACCTAGACCAAATATGAGAGACCAAAAGTCTCCTAAACTCCTTCTAGATCAATAACAGTCCATGTACTATGATTGCTACTAGTGAGAGAGAGGGCATGTAGTTTTAAAGGAAGTCTTATGTGAATCACTGTAATAGCTAATGGAGGACTGAGCAGATGGTGTAGCTAGTGTAGTTAATAGTCTGCTGTGGGTAACAAGAGTATGATTTGGTGGTCAGTTACTCACTGATAGTTATGGTTTCACTTATAGTAATGGCTAGCCATCACAGCTCTACTTATCCTTAGTATAGGCCCTGTATGTACATGTATATGTACACATGCATTTACTCTCTAGTGCTTAATGTTATTCAGGGCTGTTTGATGTGATTAATTATCCTTAAATGGGATTACTATAATGTGTTTTGTTCACCTCACCCACCCTCTCTCACGCTCCATGCACTTACTACAATCGCCATAATTATATAATAACGATAATTGTAATGGCAGCTAATGCAATTATAGTAATAATGTAATTTTAATGCTCGGGCCTTTGTTCATTAGTACTGCACTAATTTACTTAAGCTTCTTCTCCCCCTCTCTTTTTATTTCTTTTGTTATTCTGCCCATTATATTTCCCTCTCCCTTTCACATTGGGTACCTTGTTTGTTTAGCTCTTAAGCCAAAAGCCTCTAGGCAACATGCAACATGTTTCTGGCAACTTTTGTGGTTACTTTGATCTTGTGTCCAAGAATAGAAATCTGTTCTATTCTTGGAACAAGTTGATTACAAAAGTTTAAAGTAACCACCAAAGTTGCTAGCAGTATGTTGGGCTTAACTGATTGATCCATGCCTTTTTGTTGCACCTATACTGCTGGTATAATACAAAATGCTCTACATCTACAAAATGGCTGCATAAGCCTGGTTTCCACAAAGCCTTACAACAGCCTGCACTGTTGCAACAATCATGAAGATAGAAATCAGGTCTATTTCTACAACAGCTGTGCCCTAACCACAGCTTACTAGTACATAATATTATAGTATAATAGTCATGATCATTTATAGTACCTTAGATCAGGAAATTATTGTGGTAGAAAATTTTTGTGTTTTAAAATTATACTGTGATTTAATTTTTACTAAATAAGACTCTGTCATGTATTACTGAATGTGGCATGTAATTATATGGGTAATCTAATTTTTGAGAAATTCTAATCCAGTAAAATTAAAATCACAGTAAAAATTTCCAGATAAACGGTATTATTTTTTTGCTTTCTTCGTCCTAATTTCTCCCCTTCACTTTTCTATAAAGGTGAGTGCACAGCTGGGAGTGTTCGACTGGTAGAAGGTGCTGATGAGTATGAGGGTCGTGTTGAAGTCTGTCTCTTTGAGAGATGGGGTACTGTCTGTGATCACAGCTGGTCCACTCCTCATGCCGAAGTTGTTTGCCGCCAATTAGGACTACCCACACTTGGTAAGAACACGTACAATTTTAATTTATATGTACAGTGTACGTGTCTGTATTGCATTTGTAAATTTTTACTTAACATATTCAGTAAATTATTATGGTCTTTTTTCATTTTGCCTTCTCTCTCTCTCTCTCTCTCTCTCTTTCTCTCTCTCTCCCTCTCTCTCTCTCTCTCCTCTTCTTTATTCACAGGTGCTACTGCTTATTCTGGTGCTTATTTTGGTATTGGTGCAGGCCCTATACACATTGATGATGCTGTCTGTACTGGAGATGAGACCAATATCACACAATGTACCTTCACATCTAATGACAACTGTCTACATCTTAATGATGCTGGAGTCAGGTAGAGAGGGGGAGAGAGAGAGGGGGAGGGAGAGAGAGGGAGAGGGAGGGGGGAGAGGAAGAGAAAACTTATAACTACCTACAGTCACCTATGCATTACAACCTCCACAAATAATCTTAATTTGTTTGATAAGGTCACAAGATTATGAATACGGTCACAAGGTCACACTAATTACAAATACGTGTGCCTGCATGCCTACTACGATATACAGTACATCTTATGAACAATAGTATGGACATGCAGTGCTGTAGCGTTAATTGACTCAGCATGACTTCTTGTTATGACTAGACTCTTTCTCCCTCCCTCCCTCTTATCTCCAGGTGTCCCTGTGTTCATGGTGATGTACGTCTTGTTGATGGTCCCACTAAAATGGAGGGACGTGTTGAGATATGTATTGATGGAGTCTGGGGTACCATCACTGATGACGGTTGGGACAGTTTTGATGCCAATGTGGTCTGTAGACAACTCGGTTTCATGGGAAACGGTGAGGACTTTAATCATGCATGTGTACACATGTACATGTATGCACATTAAAAATACATTATTATTATTATTATACTGATCCTTGTATTATACATTAAATAATCAATAATTATACTATAATCTCAAGCACATTGCATTTCAGGTCCTACCTAATTAATAATTAATTTTAACCCTAAAAACTAACAGAAAACTAAAACCCTAAGCCTACAAAACCTAAGAAAGTATCCTAAACCTAAGAAACTATAGTAATATCATTATCATTCATGATGATGGCATCTTCTAGTATTGCATTATTGTACTGATCTCTTTTATTTTCATTCATCCATAGTGTCCTTCCCAAAGCTTTATGCTGCCTATGGTAGAGGTGTTGGTCCCATACACATGACTATTGTTACCTGCTTTGGGTCCGAGTCACGTCTCATTGACTGTCGATTCAATCCAAACACTAGAAGTGAATCGCATGCTGAAGATGCTGGAGTTGCATGCTACAATGGAACAACTAGTGAGAATATTATAAATTAACCTTTATTAGTATAGTTGCATGTACATTGTATTTTGATAATAGCTATATTTGGCCTATTTTTGCAGTACATGTGCATCTAGTTATAATTTGTGCAGTGAATGTTTCTAACTATTTTTAATACTTGCTAAATGCTATAAGAAAGGTACATGTACATGTAACTTTAATCTGAAAAACTAACTTAAAAGTTTCCCTTAAAAGTTATCTTTATTTTAAAGATTAACATCTATTGCTTTGCTTCCTTAATGCTTTACATGTGCATGTACATTCATCTAGTACATTAATTTTGTCTGGTAGTAATTATTAATTATTATATTTTTTTGTGTAGCCGATAGCTCAGTGTGTGAGACTGGTGAGATAAGACTAGCTAATGGTTTCTCTACTACTGATGGTCGTGTTGAAGTCTGTTCTAATGGAGTCTGGGGCTCTGTCTGTTATGCTTTGTGGGACTCCTTTGATTCGTCTGTTGTCTGTAGCACACTGGGATACGCTAAAAGTAATGGAGTCTGAGAAGAGAATTGCTGTATTTTATAATCAAGATTAAAAATAATTAAGAATTACAAATAAGTAATATTAGAAATAATCAATTAAAGATTAAAAATAAGAATTTACAGGGATTTATTATGTATTAATTCTTACATGTATTTTTATGTTAAAAATTTTTTTCTATCGCTATAGTTTACTTTATTAGTATTTTACATGTAAATATTATTTTTATTTTTATTTTAGTTGGTGAGGCTTATTTTGCTGGTTTCACTCGTCGCCCTGGACCTGGTACAGGGCCGGTACTGATGAGTGTTGTCAGTTGCCTAAGGAGCTCCAACTCTTTGTTTGATTGCTATTATACCGGAGCTCTCATTGGCTGCAATCATTTTACTGACGTTGGAGTAAGGTGCTTTAATAGAGGTAAAGAATGAGAGAGAGAGAGAGACAGACTAATTACTATATACCGTGTGCGTTCAAATTTTTGAGTGTGTGAAATTTTGCGTTTTGAATAAAGTGTGCTCAAAAGTTAATATTCGTGTGAACTAATTTTTATGTTCTGGCCATAGTCTACATACAATAGAATGGCATTAGAGGTGGTTTAAATTTTGTGGATTTAAGGTGAGCACGAAAATAACGAAATTTAATGCACCTCGAAAATTAAGACACATACGGTAGTAACGGTACTTATTTAATTGTTTATTTTTATTTTTATTTGGTCGAGTGATGGGCATATGTTTGTTTAAATATGGCGTGTGTGTGTGTGTATACTCAATGTACAATTTATTTGTGCAGTAAGCATGTGTTGTAGTCTTGTTTTTTATGCTCTATATAACCTTGAACAACAGCAATGATAATAATGATAATAATAAATAATAATAATAATAATAATAATAATAATAATAATAATAATAAATTAGTAATGGCAAGGCTCTCGATTGTATTGATCAATTGCTGATTTTTAGAGCCAATAGCATAATAAAAATTGGGGATGATTTTGGAGCCATTTTTTGGAACAAACCATGGGCTATAGCCTTGGGTATTTTTCAGGATTTTGACGTTTTCTTAAAATGGCTGTAACTTGAAAAATTAAAGTCGGAATCAGCTCAAACTTTCTACGCAGCATAAGGACATCAAAATGTATCAGAAAATGTAATAAAAATTGGGGGTGATTTTGGAGCCATTTTTTTTTTAAAACCATGGGCTATAGTACAGAGTATTTTTCAGAATTTTGGCGTTTTCTTAAAATGGCTGTAACTTGATAAATTAAAGTCGGAATCAGCTCAAACTTTCTACACAGCATAAGTACATCAAAATGTATCAGAAAATGTAATCAAAATTGTGGATGATTTTGGAGCCATTTTCTATTGAATTCTCAAAACTGCATGAGCTATAGGTTCTTCTTTATGTGGATTTACATAATCATGACGACCATGATGATGTAGTTATATGTACATGTACATGTACATAATACCTGTATCAGATGACTATCACATGATCCCCTAGGTGACTGTACTCCCGGTGATGTGAGACTACTGTTAGGTTTCGCTCTTAGTAATGAACGTGGACGTGTAGAGGTCTGCTATGATGGAGTGTGGGGAACTGTTAGTAGCGGTGGCTGGTCTGATAATGATGCTAAGGTTGTATGTAAGCAATTAGGATACTTCCCTTACGGTAAGTTATTAATAGTTATTGGTAGTTATTAGATAGTTATTAATATTTATTAATAGTTATTGATAATATTTAAGCTAAGAGACACTATCTTTTCAAAAATAATAATAACACATTCAAAACACATATTTTCTCTAAAATTTTAAGAAACTACTTTAGCAACAATATATCAATGAAATGGTAAAGATAATTAATGTCAGCCTTAACAAACTGTTTAATTATTAATGGGTACGACCCTTATCCTGGTCGAATGTTGTTTCATTTTAAATTTATTTCTAATCTTTTTCGTGAGTGAACCTATAAGTGACTTTATTTCCGGCCTGAAGTACAGCTGAATAAAAGGGTTGGTCATTATTATCGAATCATTAAAAGCTATGTTAACAAGATAGACATTATCTTGTAGAGGATAGATAGCAGAAATAAACCCTATGGTGTACCCAGGGAGTACTGTTATTATGAATGCTATTAGCATTGACCCAAATATGCCGAAAAGCCTCTTCTCTTTGGACAAGTACACGCCATCACTTCCAACCATTGTAGCCTGTTCCTTGATGAAGCCACGCGTGTAACAAAACGTCCAAATAGTCATAACAGCAATAGTGAGGTATATCGCTGAATATATTGATACGTTTAATGTAAGGTAGAACATGCTCGTGTTTTGGAAAATGTTAGTACAAATCCCGTAAGAAGAAAAGTACCCATATTGACCGATGCCGTAGAAAGGGGTTGTGTTTATCATGGAGCCCAGTAACCATAGTGTTATAGTGAGTATCAAGGCTACTCTTGGCGTCATGAACTCCTTGTGAAAGTGAGGCTTGACTATGAACAGAAACCGATCAAAAGAGATGGCTGATAGTGTCATTGCTATGATCAAGGCACTGTTCCAGTACGTATAAGCGACTATGATGCATATCTGGTTCTTTCCTTGAGGAGTTATACCAAAGATCCATTCTTTGGCTCCTATTGCAATGGAGAAGAGCAATAGAGAGAATGAGACGTTGAGATTAGCCAGCAAGTGAGATGTGAAGAACATTGTCGACGATTTGGTCCAGGACTTCTTTTCATAGAGCGTCACTAGTAGGACTCCTATATTAGCTATTATCCCAATGACTGCTTCAATGCCCAGTATTGCTGAAAATACAGGAGCATTGATATCTCCAGTTAGAAGAAAGTCAGTAGAGTTTAATGACATAGTAGAAAATGATTGTATTCTCCTTTCAAAGAAAATTTAAGTATTTGTATAGACTATGGGCTACGAGAGGCAGTTCCTGTTTATTATGGTGCTGAGAGAATCATAACTGTGGAAGCCTCTTTAGTCTCAGTTTAGCACTTACAATCCTGTACAAATGGAGACTTTATTATTGCTCTAACCACCAATATAGAATCTGTTTTATTTTGAGCATTCCTCAAGGCTGTATCACTAAAATATACATGTAACTCCATCTGTATTTCTTGCTGTGTAATATGTACAGTGTATCAGAAAATGTAGTAAAAATACGGAATTGTTTTTTTTGACAGTGTCCTGTACTACTTACTGATAGCACAGGCTTCTTAATCAAATTTTTGAGCAACTTAAATTTTGTTTAGAAAGTTTATACATGCATGTACACAATATATTGTTGTTTCTACACAATTTATCTTATTATTTTTGTTGTTGTTTTTATTTATTTTTCTAGTGGCTCTCCCAAGATCAAATGGCTTTTATGGTCGAGGTCCGTTCAGTCAACCCATTCCACTTCATGGTGTTGGGTGCTTTGGACAAGAAGACAAGTTATTGGACTGTGGCTTTCTGCCACGCCCCTTGGTGGGAGTGACCCATTCTAACGATGCTGGAGTCGACTGCTTCACTTTTAATGGTAAGTACTACAATTACCATGCAGCAGTTATTTCTGTGGATTTAGTACTTGGTGGTATCTTAGCTCCTAGTGGGACATAGAATTTGTGGGTTTAATTTTTCGTGATTAACAGCTTGTGGCATACCGTATAGGGGTTATATTTCACTGGTAATAAATTTCACGAATTTTGCGTTTTTGTTAAATTCGCGAAATTAAATTCCACAAAAGAGGTGTGACACACTAGTAAAAATGGCTGCAGAAGGTAAGATTTGCGAAAATTTATACCAACAAATGGCAAATCTGAACAAATTTGCGAAATTTTATACCAACAAAATAAAACCCCTATACGGTATCCCAAAGCCATCAAAACTGCAAAATAAAGGGCCATAAAAATAACATATTTCTGCCTCACTCACTCTCTCTCTCTCTCTCATCTACTTACATTTATTTATGTATTTATATGCTCTCATTACAGGCACTGCTAATTCACCTAACTGTACAGCTGGTTCCTTGAGATTGGTGGGTGGGGCTAATGAACACGAGGGTCGCGTTGAGGTCTGTCTTAGCGGTGAATGGGGCACTGTTTGTGATGATAGCTTCGGCCCTAACTCTGCTAATGTCATTTGTAACCAGTTAGGATTCTCAAGATATGGTACGTACAATGTACAATGTATATCCGTACACATGTAGTAATATTAGTAGCATAATACATGTATCTGAGTCCCTTGAAATCTGCCTTCAAGCTTACATTGTAATTGGCACATGTTAATTGAGGAACATTTTGATTGTTAAAAACCTTAAGTACCTCTGAAATGAGGACATCTCTCTGTATTAAGGACAGGTAGTGTGGGCCCAATGGTGTCCTTAATAAAGAGGCTACACTGTACATGTATTAAGGACAGGTAGTGTGGGTCCAATGGCGTCCTTAATAAAGAGGCTACACTGTACATGTATTAAGGACAGGTAGCGTGGGCCCAATGGTGTCCTTAATAAAGAGGCTCCACATTATACATTATATCTATTATTAATCATATGCAGGTGCTGTTGCATTACCTCGTTCATATTATGGCGAGGGTAATGGGAGTATATTTCTTGATGATTTATCGTGTACTGGTCATGAGAAGAACTGGTGGGAGTGTACCTCATATACCGCAAACCATAACTGTAGACATATTGAGGATGCTTCAGTCAGGTGTCAGCCCAAAGGTAAGGAATCTTCTCCTTCCCTCCTACCCTCTCTTTACTGTAGACTCTACACATGCATATGTACATACAGGTACATGAAGTAGTGGACATCTTAAATTCACTACTTTGTCAATTGTTAATGAACTACTTTTATGTTCAAAGAATTTTAGATAATTAGGAATACTTTTTGGCCCAAATGACCTTTTGTCCTATTCCACTAAACACATTCTTTTTCTCCTTTGTTCACTCTATTTTCATCTCAATACTTCTTATTTTACTCTCTCTTTCTCTCTCTCTCTCTCTCTCTCTCTCTCTCTCTCTTCTCCATTGTCTCCCCCTTCCCCTCCCCTAGCATGTGACCACGGTGCCGTTAGGTTAGCTGATGGTACTAACGAACTAGAAGGACGCCTTGAAGTCTGTATTGATGGAGCCTGGGGCACTGTGTGTCATGATTTCTGGACCGGCATTGATGCACAAGTGGTCTGTCGCCAGCTTGGCTACTTGGGAACATGTAAGAACGTAATAATTGACACATCAAGTACATGTACATGACAACATGTATCATGTGATGATTATTGTAAACTTAAAAATTTTTAACTGCATCTTGTTTTTTTTAATTGTAATTTCCTGCTATTTTAATATTAAACATTGTCAATGACTTTGAATTAATATTTGTATCTCATTATTTCTAGTTGCCCTTGGATACAACAGCGCATTCTTTGGCCAGGGGACTGGTCCTATTGTGATGGATGACCTTCGTTGTGTTGGTAATGAGTCCAGAATTATTGACTGTCCGTTTGATGTACACACTGCTGACTGTTCTCACCTGTTTGACGTCGGAGTCAAGTGTTACCCTGATGAAGGTAAGGGAGAGAGAGAGAGAGAGAGAGAGAGAGAGAGAGAGAGAGAGAGAGAGAGAGAGAGAGGGAGGGAGGGAGAAAGCCGTGTTATTTGTACAAGATTACCTCCTGGATGAACTTAGTTTTTAACAATTTACTTAACTCTAGCTCCTACATGCATTTTTGAAAAAATTATGCATGTATGTACTTAATGAAGTTGCTGTATGCATTCAAATTTTCAAGTGTTTAAAATTTCGTGTTTTCAATGAAATGTGCTCAAAAGTTAATATTCGCGTGAGCTAATTTTCATGTTCTGGCCATAGTCTACATACAATAGAATGGCATTAGAGGTGGTTTAAATTTTGTGGATTTAAGGGGGGGGGGGCACGAAAATAACGGAATTTAATGCACCTCAAAAATTAATATGCGTACGGTTATGAAATTGACTTAAGCTGTCCCCTTCTTTTGATTGTTATACTACATTGTACATGTACAGTACAAAAATGTATTCATCTCATATTTTATTCTCTCATTCTGTAGGTTCAGCTACCAATACATCAGTATGTAAGTTAGGAGACACTAGACTAGTTAATGGATCAAAGCCAAATGAAGGGCGAGTTGAGGTCTGCATTGATAACGTATGGGGCACTGTCTGTGACGACAGGTTCCAACCTCCTGATGCTATCATTGTCTGTAGACAGTTAGGATACTCTGATTTAGGTACAGCACAGTACATGTACATCTATAGAATGTATGGAGTGTAAAAATTGGCTTTCCAAAGATTAATTTGATAGTTTACATGTAAATTTTGTTTATAAACTAGCTTTTCAACACATACCATAAAAATTTGGGCAAAGTTCAATTTGCTCAAATTTTACTGAACCTACCTATTAGCATGGCAAGAATGAATTTATTTAATCTATTCATCACTTTAATTATTATTATAATATTATTAATTATAATGCATAATTACAGGGGCTACCCCGGTTCCTGGTGCTGCCTATGGTAGAGGCACTGGCCCTATATACATGGACAATACTTATTGTTTTGGTGACGAGGACTGGCTCCTCGACTGTGCCTTTGATCCACACACGGCAGACTGTCATCACGGAAGAGATGTAGGAGTTATTTGTTCAGTACCAGGTACAGTATAGGTTTTAGATTATGTTGTATGTGCTTTGATTTTTTGTTACTGTAGTGTTTGCTTTATAATTTTTTTTTCTCTCTTTTACATTTATTATTGTTCTCTCTCTCTCTCCCTCCCTCTCTCTCTCTCCCTCTCCCCCCCCCCCTCTCTCTCTTTCTCTTTCTCCCTCTTTCTCTCTCTCTCTCTCTCTTTCTCTCTCTCTCTCTCTCTCTTTCTCTCCAGATGAGTGTAAAACTGGTGACATTAGGTTGGTGAATGGATCAGTTCCAACTGAAGGACGTATTGAGATATGTGTTGATGGTGTTTGGGGTACCATCACTTCCATTGATTTCGATCACAGAGACGCTAGAGTTGCCTGTACACAGTTAGGATATGATGGCAGATGTAAGCCAATTATAAGTACCATTACATTGTAGTACATGTACGTGCATATACACATATAAGTTTTATCTGTCAAATTTTTATAAAAATTCCCCAAATTTTTTTTTCTCAATTACAGATGCAGTTACATATGGATTCAATACTTTCTCCTATTTTGGTGATGGGATTGGCCCAGTCCACATGCACAATTTGGCTTGTGTTGGTAATGAGCCATCACTATTGAACTGCACTTATGATAGGTTAAACCCCTTGATTATTAACCCTCACATTGCTGATGCTGGAGTCCGCTGCTTCAATACATCAAGTGAGAAATCATTAATTATATTTATCATTATTTTTATTACATTCATGGATTAATTTTTTGATTTAATTTTTATGATTATGAGAGAGAGAGAGAGAGAGAAATAAGGACAAATGTTAATGACAATAATAATAATAATGATAATAAGAATTAAAATATCTGATTTACTTGCAAGCATCAATTATTGTACTTTAATTTTTACTCTCTCTCTCTCTTTCTCTCTCTCCCCCTCTCTCCCCAGTTCCTGCTTGTACTCCTGGTGATATAAGACTAGTCAATGGTAGCTCTCCATCTGAAGGACGTGTTGAGATGTGTATGGACAATGTCTGGGGAACACTCTGTGGTATTATTTGGCTTGAAATAGACTCACTCGTCGTTTGTAGACAACTTGGATACAACGACTATGGTGTGTTTAATAACCTACATTTATACATGTATATACATGTATACATATTATATATGTATTATATATTATTATTATTATATTATATACATGTATGTATATTTTATGCATGTATATTGTAGTACATGTACATGTGAATATGTTATTGTATTGTATATTCCAAAATAAATTACAACATTAAATTGTTAATTTTAGTAAAATCGCATCTTTTTTTTACCTATGAAAAAATGCTATTAATTTTTGAACTAAATATGTACAATTTGTATTAAAATTTTGTAACCATTTACATTTAATTAACGAAATATACATGTGCAATATTTTTATTATTTTTAAAAATAACTTATATTACTATTATTTTCATTTTATTCCAGCTGCACTGACTCTACCCGGTGGTAGCTATGGTCTTGGTGTTAACGCCAGTAACGCCTCCAGTGTCCCAATATACCTCACTCCGCTGTGCAACGGTACTGAAAAACGGCTACTTGACTGTGAACACTATCAGGTAGCTGTTTGTAACCACGGACATGATACTGCACTGAGGTGCTTCAATTCTGGTAAGAACAATTGATTATCTTTTTTGTCTTTTAATTGTAATTATGGCATTTGAATCGCAATAATTACAAAGAGAGAATTTTTTATTTTTTGTAATACATATACGTGCCCTTATGTTGGGTATTCACTTTAAGCTGATTCTGATCAAATTAGACTTTTTATGAATTTTTAAAGTTGCTCAAAAATTGGACCAATGACCAAAGGCTATAGCCTTTGGTCATTGGTCTAATATGGCCAAATTTGACAAGTAAAGAATTCTTGATTTTTATAATTTTTTCTGATACATATACATGTCCTTATGTTTTGTATCAAGTTTGAGCTTATTCTGAGCAAAATTGGATTTTTTAACGAATTTTTAAAGTTGCTCCAGATGCCATGTACTGTATTGTAGTGCTTGTCAGCTCATGAAGCTCATGCTGTTTAGCTCACTTAGCATGGTTTGGAGGAAACCCCAAGTGTATTTATTAATATTGTTTCCATTCATAGACTCCTGTACTGAGGGTGCCCTCCGTTTGGTTAATGGTAGCTCAATGAATGAGGGACGCATTGAAATCTGTCAGCACAACATTTGGGGCACCATTTGCGATGACTTCATTTCTAGAGTCGATGCTAGAGTCGTGTGTAGAAATCTTGGACTTAATGAAAGATGTAAGTCATTCATTATCAATACTTAATTATTCAACCCTCGATCCGATCTGAATATAATAACAAAAGTTACAATTTCAAGAAGAATTTAATATGGTGATATAATGATTGAAATGTAATTGCTAATTTTAATGTATTTGCATTTAATTTTGCAGCCATGTTGCATTAAGAATAGCAGTTTTATTTTGAAAGTTTTTTAGCTCTACATGTACAACATCTTTATAATTAATTTTTTCCATTTCTCCCCCTCCCTCCCTCCCCCTCTCTCTCTCTCTACAGATGCTGTATCATTTGTTGGTGGCTATTTTGGTGTTGGAACTGGGCCTATTCACATGGACGATGTACAGTGTGCTGGCACGGAGACGAAACTAATAGACTGTGAACACGACAGTTCGACTGACGACTGTGGGCGCAATGAAGATGCTGGTGTAGCCTGTTATAATCAGAGTAAGTTCTATTGTCCTTATGTACATGAACCATATAGCGGGTTTACATGTATTTCGAGTATAATAATAATTTTCACGAATGGCCTGTATCTGGAAGATCACGGGATTAATTTTCGCGAATTGCCACTTTTCTGCCATCTTGTACCATATTAAATTGATTTTCAAGGAAGTTAATTTCGCGAATCTTCAAAAATCTACGAAATTTATTATCCTCGAAATAAATTTGCTATACGGTATACACATATACATGTAGGTTCACATGCATGCATAGTGATATGTACATATACATTTATATTATACAGTGTATTTGTATTGGCAATTTTGACATAATGAATCATAAATCTCACATACAGCTGTATAAAGATGATATATCTTTATATTTTTGATTTAACGTACTTTCATCTTCTTTATTTCTCAGGTCAGTGTACCACTGGTGACGTGCGACTGGTTAATGGTAACAACACGTACGAGGGTCGACTGGAGTTGTGTTCTGCCGGTATATGGGGAACTGTCTGTAGCTTTGGGTTTGGTTTAGCCGAGGCTATAGTCGTGTGCACTCAACTCAATTTAACATCAACTTGTAAGTACATCACTGCATATAAGACATACAGTATATTGAACTAATTGTGTGCTGGTATTACTTATGCTGTATGTAATATATACGTACATGTATACAATTATACATGTATGTGTGGTAAATGATTTTGATAGTTTTTGAGTATTGTGCTTCAGAAAAACATGCAAATTTTGATTCAAGACCATTCATGCAACCAAGATTACCTACCTCTCAAAAAACACTTTTAATTTTTATTATGCATTGTCTGATGCACAATGGAGCTGATGAGACATTTACATATACATGTACAAATTAATTTCTATCTGATTGATGCCTTTATTTTTTATTAATTTTCCCAATTTTATAACTATTATGCGCACTCTCTCTCTTCCTCTCTTTTCTACAGATGCTGTACCGTTTGTTAATAGTTATTATGGGCGTGGCTCCAGTGAGATTGTTGCTAGTTCTATGAGTTGTTTCGGTACTGAGCGAAGACTCACTAGCTGTCGGTACTCAGTCACAGCTGCAGCGTCATGTTCACACTTCCAGGATGCAGGCGTGGCCTGTTACCCCACAGGTAATGATTGTACATGTACAAGTACATGTTGATTCTCTTATATATGCTCTGTAAAAAAGTTTGAGTTCATTCTAATTTTTCCAATTTTTTATTTTTGATCATTTTTAGAAAAGATTAAAATTTCTGAGAAAAATCATTCCTATTTTTTATATTTTGTCCACTGTATTGTACCCTTTTTCTCCTTTTTTTCCTAATATAGCCCAGTGTAATACAACTGGTCTAACGAGACTGGTCAACGGTCAGAATCAGTACGAGGGTCGTGTTGAGATTTGTTTAAATGGTGTCTGGGGAACTGTTGAAGATGATCGCTTTAGTACTCAGGAAGCAGCTGTTGTCTGTCGCTCTCTTGGCTACCCAACCATTGGTAAGGATTGTAGCACAATGTACATGTTCAGTATAGTCTCTCTTAATGGACACTCTCTATAGTGTACACCTCCATTTAACGAACAGCACCTAGTGTATCAATTACATTCCTTAGCGTATAAAATAACCTCCACATAAAGGACACCTCTGTATAACAGAGCAACTTTTTTCCCAAAGTGTCCATTATTTTGTATATTTAAATTATACAAAAAAAATATAATTTTTTTTGTTTTGTAGGAGCTGAGCCTTTGCCAAGGGCATATTTTGGTCCTGGGAATGGAAGGCTACAAATGACATTGCTAAGTTGTACTGGGAATGAGAACAACCTCACAGCATGTCCTTATAACAATGTACTGACCACTGCTCATCATTTTGAAGATGTTGGAGTGAGATGCTATTCTGGGGGTATGTACATCTATTGTACATGTACATGCATGATTATACTTATTTTATATATATATTTATTTTAATATTGTTTTTATTTTTTGAGCTGCTTTCTTCTCTCATATATTTTCGCCTTTTTTCCCTTTCATTTTGTTTCTTACTGAATCATGTAAACTTTTTCCTCCCTCTTCCCCCCCTCTCTCTCTCTCCCTTTCTTCTTCTCTCCACAGGTCAATGTACTAATGGTTCTATAAGACTCTCTGATGGTGAGACTGATCTGGAAGGACGTGTTGAGGTCTGTTCTCAAGGAGTCTGGGGCACCGTCTCTCGTTTTGGCTGGACCTCACTCACTGCTAGAGTAGCTTGCCGTCAACTAGGATATTCAGATAAAAGTAAGGCACAGGCAATTTTATGAATGAATGTTCTTACAATTTTTTTTCCATTTCGCGAGAACTCGAATAATATTAATAAAATTTGTGTTGATGACAAATTGAGGATCGTTATATTATTTATTTATTTATTTATTTATTTTGTAGTTGGTTTTGTTATTCCAGTGCGACCAGGTATAGGTCCAGTAGCTATTAACAGTATTAATTGTGATGGAGATGAGCCTTCAATCTTTAATTGCACTTACACCACTAACTCACGTATAATCGCCCACCAGTTCGATGTTGGGATCAAGTGCTACAATATAACAGGTATTTATATACACATGTACTGCATGAAGTAGTTTTTAATTATCCTCAATCATTTTATAATCATAGATATTTTACCATCATATAATTATGCAAATTATTTATACATAAATTTCTTATTTTTAATCTCGGTCGCTAATTATATTCAAATATTGATCCGTTTAAATATCATAATAGCTATCTAACTTGTTTCCTACAGTACCAGGCCAGTGTACAAACGGTGCTGTTCGACTAATAGGCAGTTATACACCAATGGAAGGTCGAGTTGAAGTCTGTGCCAATGGTATTTGGCAAATGGTCTGTGACACCCAATGGAGTCAGGCCGACGGTAACGTGGTCTGTCGCCAACTGGGCTACGGAGCGTTTGGTAATCGAGTCCGTTATGCTTCTTTTTATGGACACAGTAATAATGGGTTCTTGCTTGGTAGTGTTCGCTGCTCTGGGTTCGAAGATAAGCTTGTGGATTGTCCTGTTGTTGCTAATCCTCAATGCACTGTGCTCCGATCAGCCGGCGTACAGTGCTCAAACAAGAGTAAGTAGGGCTACTGCGTATTGGGGGAAAATTTCGATGGTTGCATGGTTAAATTTTAATGGGTCATCCAGTTAAATTTTTTTGGGGTCATCCAATAAAATTTTAGTCATTTAAAATTAATAGATCATCATAAGTATATTTTTTGTTTTGGGCTGCAAATGCATGTACATGTAAATGTTTTGTGATGTACATGTGGTCATCTAATTAATCATTTTATGAACAATTTTGACTGCTCGTTTTAATTCTTTTATTTTTAGGTTGTGAGGATGGTGACATTCGTCTTGTTGGTGGATCTAATGATAATGAAGGAAGAGTTGAAGTGTGTATTGGTGGAGTGTGGGGCACTGTCTGCAGTAGACAATGGGAAACAACTGATGCTCGTGTGGTCTGTGGTCAATTAGGATACTCAAACTTCAGTAAGTATAACTCCCAATGGTACTGTGGAGCAGATTTTGGCGAAGTAAAATTTTTTATAAATTTTGAAATAAAATTTCATTTGTCAAAATTTTATTCTCTGACTTTGTGTGATGGACAATAGCAGTGTTACATGTACATGTAGTGTAGTGTAATAGATGCAACCTTTTTGAATACTTGATGCTTTGCTTGAGGAAATAAATTTGATTGATTGTCTTACTTAATTTTGGTTTATTTGTGAAATATAGATGTAGTTATACACGTCTGCTCATGTTAGTTTGTTAATAATACATTTACAATTAATAAGTTTCTAACCTTTCATGATATTATTTATAAATTGTCTAAATTCCCACCCACAGCTGCTGTAGCAATATACAACGCTTATTATGGCCTTGGATCCGGCCCAATATTAATGAACTCACTCCAGTGCACGGGGAATGAGGACAAACTTATTAACTGTGACTACTCAAATATTATATTCAACTGTAACCACGGGTTAGATGCTGGCGTCAAGTGTTTTAACTCAACCAGCGACGGAGTGTGTGACTTGGGAGATGTTAGACTAGTGGGTGGAGCTTACAAGGAAGAAGGAAGAGTGGAGGTTTGTTTCAATGGTCAGTGGGGGACCGTCTGTGATGAGCGTTGGGACGTTCTTGATGCCACTACCACTTGCAGTCAGCTAGGATATCAACCAAGTGAGTTAATTGTGTCAAGTTGTATATTTTAAAAAGCTAAGCCAAACACTTTGTAGCACATAAAGAAACTGCGGGCTATCATAGTACAGGGTATTTGGTCGAAATTGACTAGGAGAGAGTTCTTCATTTTTGTTACATTTTCTGTGCATGTTCTAGAAAGTTTGAACTAATTCCAATCAATATCGGATTTTTTAAGAAATTTTTAAACTTGCTCAAATGCATGCACATTTGTAAGATCCTGTAACATTATTATAGTTTTTTTTCTCTCTTCTTTCTTTCTCTCATTTACTTCCTTTATCATTAGTTGGTAGAGCATTCACTAGTTCATTCTTTCCTCCTGGCAATGGCTCTATATTTATGAACAATTTGGACTGTTTTGGTTCTGAAGGATACCTTGCCCACTGCCCCTATCAGGACAATATTGCTGACTGTACTCATGCCAGTGAAGCTGGAGTCAGATGCTACCTTCCTGGTAAATTTATTTATTTTACTTTTATATTTAATCTTATATACACAGAAGGAGCCTTTTTGTAAAATAATGTACATGTGTACTTGTATCTGTACCTTTTGTGATTTGTACACTTGTGTCTCCTGTCTATATACTTGTGTCTCCTGTCTGATAATTTCTATGTGTACTGGTATATAAATGTACATGTACTTGTACTTGTGTAGTTGTTATTATGTCATGTTAAGACTACAAGTACAAGTCCATTTTATTCATACACCTCTTTTTACTAGTAGTTGCATTTCTTTATTTAATTCTATTTCTACATCTTTTCTCTTTGTCTTGTGATCTCATTTACTTTTTTGTATCATCAACTCTTCTCTCTCTCCCTCCCTCCCTCCCTCCCTTTCCCCCCTCTCTCTCCCCCCCTCTCTCTCCCCCTCTCTTTCTCCCCCTCTCTTTCTTTACCCTCAGATAACTGTACTAATGGTCAAATCAGATTATTCAGCAACAGATTTGTCAATTATTCAGTCGATGGAAGAATAGGACGACTAGAGTATTGTTACGAGGGAGTATGGTCATCAATCAGTGCTTTCATATGGAACAGTTTACAATCAAGAATAGCCTGTAGGGAGCTAGGCTTCAGTGATTCCCTGTCACCAACATATGTTCAAAATATAAACTTTGGTCCAGTTCATGGTCCCAATGTATATGTCTTTTGTCGTGGATTGTTCCCTTCTTTGAGTAATTGTACAGTTGCTCCAGCTGATGTAGTGTCACCGTTTTATACCGCTCCTACTCCTTATGTCTACCTTTATTGCCCTCGGCCACGTAAGTACATGCATACATTGTACATGTACATTACAGTAAGCATTAATATTAGAATATTTCAGTTGTATTTGTGTGTGTGTGTGTGTGTGTGTGTGTGTGTGTGTGTGTGTGTGTGTGTGTGTGTGTGTGTGTGTGTGTGTGTGTGTGTGTGTGTGTGTGTACCAATTTTAGAAGTGAAAGATTAAGTTTTTAATGGATGTATGTACTACATGTACATACCGTATTTCCTTAAATAAAAGCCCGGGCGTCTATTTCCTAAAATGGTATTTGGACCTCGAAAAAATATATAAAAATAAAATAAAAAAGCTTGGGCCTAGCGGGATTCGAACCCGTGATCTCATGCTTTTGACTTCTGGAACTTCAGACATTATCCACTAGACTACTGAGACACCCCTAAGCTCATGTTGCGTATTTATATTTAAATTGTACTGCTACCCCGGCGTTTATTCGAATGCGGCTTCTATTTAAGGATTTACGGTACATGTACAATGTATATGGTGTGAAAGTTTTATTTGTCATAGTGCAAGTATGAAATAATCTTTTTATTGGAAATTTTGTGAATTACAATATCTTGCATATACATGTACATGTGTACATGTGTGCATGCCTTAAAATTGTTAATTTTTATGTCTTTTCTTTTACTCCTTAATTTTTACTGTATTATTTGCTCTCTCTCCTTCTCTCTCCCCCCCTCCTCTGTCTCTCCCACCCTCTCTCCCCCCCTCTCTCTCCCCCCCCTCTCTCCCCCCTCTCTCTTTCCCCCCTCTCTCTCTCCCCCCCCTCTCTCTCCCCTCCTCTCTCTCCCCTCCTCTCTCCCCCCCCTCTCTCTCTCTTGTCCTTACAGCATGTAATGATGGTGACATTAGGCTGGTCAATGGCTCGGTTCCTCATCGAGGACGAATAGAAATATGTATCAACAACACTTGGGGAACAATAAGTGATGACAGGTGGTCTTACGCTGACGGACAAGTTGCATGTAGACAACTGGGATATTCTGATCAAGGTCAGGGTTTAGATTTTTATTCTCGGGGGGCCCTCTCAAGCTATATTGCCCCGGCCACCTGAATATTTCTATGCATGTAAAGTAAAAATCTATTCATTTTCTATACAGTTCATGTATAGAAAATCTTCATCTTCAGCTAAATTTTGATTTTTATTTGAAATTAATAGAAAAACTTTTATACTATACTTTAGTAATTCAGTACACTAAGATGTGTATCATGATTCATTCACATGATCATTGTTTATTTTTATTATCTCATACAGTGTTGACAGTGCGTGTCAGAGCTTATTACGGGGAAGGCAAAGGCCCAATATTCTTTAGGAATTTCTTTTGTCTTGGAACCGAACGAAGGCTCATCAACTGTGCCTCGTCTACTAACACTGCCTTTGAGAGACATTCGGAAGACGCTGGACTTGACTGCTATCCTAACAGTAAGTGCTTGTAATTATTATTGTAATTTAATTAACAGTAAATAATGTAATTACTTTTGTGTTATTTATTCTACTATTCATTAGATCACTGCATTATGTGTTGTATTATTTTTAATTTCTAATTACTTGTTTTTATTTTATTTAACAGAATATTAATTCAATTACTATTTATATTTATTTGCATTTATTATTATTATTATTATTATTGTATATTTTGTATTACAATTTATCCCTTTTTTCTTTGTATAATCTTATAATATTTGTTTTTCTACAGATGAGTGTACTCATGGTGAGATAAGACTGGTCAATGGTACCACAGAGTATGAGGGTCGTCTTGAAGTTTGTAATGATGGAGTCTGGGGGACTGTCACTAGTGATGGGTGGTCCTTTTATGATGCAAGGGTGGTCTGCGCACAGCTTGGATTCTCCAGGAGATGTCAGTATACTAATTCCAATTTTATTACAAAATTTAACTAATAGCATATACATGTACATGTACTCATTGTGGTATCCATCCATTGTACTCTATGTAATAGCAATTGCCCCATAGTAGTATGTAGGACTTGATTTATTCACACTAATAATCTGCTACATGTTTATAACAATTATGATGTTTTAAGTATATACACTAGGTGGTGTTTCTATGTGAACTTTTTACCTCTTGTTCTCTCTCTCTCTTTCCCCTTTTTTTCTTTCTCTCTCTCTCTCTTTCTTGCTCTTTTTCTCCTTTCCCCTCTCTCTCTCTTCAGATGCACTCCATTATGACTCATCTGTCTTTGGTTCTAATTACAATATACCAATCGTCATGGATGGAGTATTCTGCTTTGGTAACGAAAATTATCTTGTTAATTGCTCCTACAGGAGTAGGCCATCAGCATTTGACACACACGCTAAGGATGTTGGTATACAGTGCTATGGAAAGGACGGTACGTTTGTATACATGTACATGTATATACTGCCAGAAGTTGTACAGTGGTCATATGGTTACTGGATGATGGGGAAAGGGATGGAATAATTGGTCAAGTAAAAGCAACAGTCTCCACTTACAGCATTACTTGGTGTTATATTGTTTTTATAATTTTTAAATTGCATCAAATGCGTTGCTTTTTGTCTTATCATTTTCTTATTAATTTACTTATTTATTAATTTTTTTATTTATTTCTGTCTTTAGTTGGCAATTGCACCACTGGTGCTGTGCGATTGGTCAATGGTGCTGATAAATACGAAGGCACTGTACAAATATGCATTGGTGGAGTATGGGGAACTGTGTGTGATAGTTTTTGGTCTGAGGCTGACGGTAGAGTCGTGTGTAGACAATTGGGATACGCCACAGCAGGTAAGGAGAGATAGAATTGCTTTACTTGTGCTATGGAAGTATACAGTAGATTATAATAAATTAAACGCATGCAACGCATGTGTATATACATGTACATGTACATTATGCTGGTGGCTCAAAAACTTTTATTTGAGTATAAGTAAAGCATTAATTGTTTTTATTGGTAAATTTGCAGGATAATAAATATTAAAATTTTTAAAGGGATAATGAATTTTTGCCCTCCTTTACAATTTTTTCATAATTTTTGTTCATGTCTCCCTATTATAGAACTTAGAAATTTTTAAGTTGCGATATTTCTTTCTTTCCTTCCCTTCTCTAGGTGTAACAATTTACAGATCTTCTTATTATGGCAATGGCACTCAAGGTCCTATTTATCTCAATCGTATGTTTTGCTCCGGAAATGAAGAAAACCTCTTGCTTTGCAACCACTCGCCATATACCGATTTTTGTACTCATGAAAGAGACGCTGGAGTGAAATGTCTCCCTGGAAGTAAGAGAAACAAGGAAATCTATTTCCTTGCTTGTATATAATGGGATTTAGTAGTAGTGAAGATATTTGGGTTGCCTTTTAATGAGTTTCACTATGTGTCCTGTAACTCCTGTTAGCTTAGCATTTTTTTAAAAATTCTTGAACTTACATATAATTGTTCACCAACATTTCTCACTGTACATACTGTATGTGTAATTAAAAACTCATGATATATGAGAAAAGAAATCATCCTTTTCCCAATGGAAAAGCCTGTATGCTTCACATTATTAATATGACGTATTCTTTTGTTTTAAGGTAATTGTACCATTGGTGAGGTCAGACTGGCTGGTAGCTCGCTAAGTTATGAAGGAAGAGTTGAAGCCTGCATTGAGGGGGTTTGGGGCACAATATGTCACACTTTATGGGGCCAGAAAGATGCTACTGTGGTATGCAGGCACCTAGGGCTGCCATATCAATGTAAGTAATATTATGCATGTGTGAAAATGGATGAATAATGAATATGAAAGAATACCTTTTAAATATCCCTTTCCCACCATCTCTCTTTCTCCTCTCTCTCTCTCTCTCTCTCTCTCTCTCTCTCTCTCTCTCTCTCTCTCTCTCTCTCTCTCTCTCTCTCTCTCTCTCTCTCTCTCTCTCTCTCTCTCTCTCTCTCTCTCTCTCTCTCTCTCTCTCATCCTTTATTTTTCTTTCCCTATAGATCCAGTGCCAATCAGAGAGGGATCATTTGGTCCAACTACTTTACCTATTTTGCGCAATAACTTAAGATGTAGCGGTAATGAAGCCAATATATCAGAGTGCTCATCAATCAGACCATTCTTCTGCACTAATTCTCAGACTGTCAGTGTAGCATGTCTTTCTGAAGGTAATACTTTGTGCTGCTTTAATTTATAGAGCATAACTTTTGCAAATTTTAAATTTTGTAGATTTACCTTAGAGTGACTTTTAATTGCGAGTACTAAATTTTGCGATTTTAGCATGAGGAGATTTTGCTGGTATTAAAAATTGTGATTAAGTAATTATTACTAATAGTTATATGGCATCATGATGTCATTATTAATAATTGCGCGTATTAATAATTGCGATTTTAACCCAAACGCAAAATTCGCAATTAATAGTACCCGTATTTAAAAGTAACCTTAAGGTACGTTGTTTTAGTATCTATGTTGATTGAATATCTTAAAAGCTTTAATTTCATGGCTATACTTATATTCAGGATGCATGTAGATTTGCATGTTATTAATAAAAAAAACTTGCTTCACAAGAATATGAATATTGAATGTTTTTTGTACACTTTTAATTGTTTATAATCGTAAATGTCTTTTCTTTTAAAGCTATGTGTACTCATGGTGATATGAGACTAGTCAATGGAACTGGGTTGGTATCAGGTAACGATACTTCGGGTACAATTGAGATTTGCATTAACGGAGTCTGGGGGACTGTCTGTGATGACAATTGGAACATTGATGATGCTAAAGTCGCCTGTAATGGGCTAGGACTCCCCTCTACCTGTAAGAATTATTATTATTTTATTCATAATTTTTATATTATTCCTCTAATATCAGGACTTTATGTAGTTTAAAATCCTATCCTATTTAAACAAACTTTTGTCTTAGTGATATAAATCTTATTTTTCATTTATTCTCTCTCTCTCTCTCTCTCTCTCTCCCTTTCTTCAGATGTAAAGCCATACCACAATGCTCATTTTGGTGAAGGAGAAGGTCCTGTCTTCCTATCAGGTCTACGGTGTGTCGGAAATGAGCTCAATCTAACCACCTGCACTCACATCCTTGAGTTCAACTGTGCCCACAGAGAAGATGCTGGTGTTCAATGTCTGGCGAAAGGTTAGTCCTAATAAGAAACATGATGTCTAACTTGCCTTAAATCACCTCTCTCTCCCTCTCTCCCCCCTCTCTCTCCCCCCCTCTCTCTCCCCCCCTTCTCTCTCTCTTCCCTCTCTCTCTCTCTCTCTCTCTCTCTCTCTCTCTCTCTCTCTCTCTCTCTCCCCCCTCTCTCTTTCTCTCCCTCTCTTTCTCTCTATTATAGCTGAGTGTTCACCAGAAGGTGCAATCAAGTTAGTGAATGGTTCTTCACCTAGTGAAGGAAGGCTTGAGGTCTGCATTAGAGGAGTGTGGGGTACTGTATCTGATGATAGGTGGGACTCAGTCTCTGCTTCCACTGTATGTAGTATATTAGGATTCAGCTCTCGAGGTTAGTGTATTATTTATTATCTATGTATAATGTGTCATTTACTTGTCTTGTTCTCTCTCCCTCTCTTTCTCTTCTTTTGTACAGGTATGGTAGATAGAATTGGTACATATGGTCGAGGTGTTGGTCCAGTTCATTTGGATAACGTGTTCTGTTATGGATTTGAGGAGACTATACTTGATTGCAGTTATGATTATAATAATGGCCTTGAGACTCATGCTGAAGACGTTGGTATCAAATGTCTTGTTGGTAAGAGCCACATTACATGTATTACGTATGTGCATGTACATGTACATGTACTGTATAGCTGTATATGTACATGTTTTGCAGTTATAATAGCATAATGACAATGTAGCCAATTACTTTGATTACATGTACACTGCATGTATATCGAATGAAATTAAATATATAAATAATGTTAAAATATTTATTATCTATTTAGGTGGTGTATGTAATCATGGTGAGGTGAAGTTGGTTGGTGGGTCTGATCCTTCTGAAGGACGTATTGAAGTCTGTGTTGATGGTCTTTGGGGGACGGTGGATTCATTCCTACTACAATCGAACGTTGCTAAAATTGTCTGTCGCCAGCTTGGATACTCTGATCAAGGTCGGCCTCTCTTTTTCTCTCCTCCTTTTTCTACTATTATTACTTTATTACTTTATGATTATTATTATAATCAAGCTATTGATATTGTACACAGAGGGAGAGATAAAATTACAATTAAGCTAAATGTCAAAATTAATAAAGCTAGCAGAAATATATTTCAGAGTTTTAGTTAGCTCATTTCAAAAGAGAAGTAGGAGCCTCATCATCAAAATGAATAGAGATAATTTCTGAGCCATTTTTCAATAAAAGCATAAACTATAGCCTTGGGTATTTTTCAATATTTTTATTCTTATTATGTTTGCTATTCTTTATTATTATTATTATTGTTATTGTTATTGTTATTATTTACAGTGGCACTCCTCTATTATAATGCTTATTTTGGTGCTGGTTCTGGTCTTGTTGCTCTTGCCTACACATACTGTGATGGAGATGAGGCTAATCTCACTGAGTGTTCCTCCTGGAAGTTCCCTCCTGTTTATTTCCACTCTGATGATGCTGGAGTCAAGTGCTACAACACATCAGGTAAATAGTACAGCACGATATCTTTAGTAACTAACATTACATCATTCTGTGTTCTGTTTTTAACACCTACTTAAGTATAATTGTCAAGATTAATGTGCATATTTGTAGAATTATTATTTTTAAGAAACAAACTTGTCTCCTGTTCTATTTTTAGAAGTCTTATCTATTAATATCACATTTTTGCTATAACTAACAGTGTATAACATTACATCATGCAATGTTCTATTTTTAGAACTAATGGCCGGTTCCTGTACTGCTGGAGATGTAAGACTATTCGGAGGTCCTAATAATAGATCAGGTGTAGTGGAGCTCTGTCTCAATGGACAATGGGGAGCTTTATGTGACACGAGCCCTGATGATGATGTAGCTGATGTTGTCTGTGGGCAATTAGGATTTGCTAGCAAAGGTAGTAAGAGGGTTATGGTTGGAATAGCATACACGTACCGTAAATCAGGAAATTTGTTCTGTAGAAAATTTTTGTTTTAAATTTGTACTGTTTTAGTTTTTACTAAATAAGACTGTGTCATGTATTATTGAATGCAGCATGTAATTCTATGGGTGATCTAATTTTTACTAAAATCTAATCCAGTAAAATTGTACTGACAGAAAAATTTTTCAGATAAGCGGTAATTTATTGTTAAACTACATGTAAATGTGTCAGAGTTTGGTTTATAGAGCTAGTGTGAATTGCATGTGCTACAGTTTATAATGTGAATTACTGCAGGATCTTTGTTATCGTTATTATGGTAGGATCAAGATTAGTAACCACTAGCAAACTTAAAATTAATTTTTTATTGTTATTATTGTTGTTGTTATTTATTGTTACAGGGTCGACTGCAGTCTTTGCAACTGCTGCTAGTTATGTTAGAAGTAATGCCACAGGGCCTTTCTGGTTGAGGGATGTATCGTGTACTAATTCACCCGATAGTCTCCTTGACTGTGTAAGATATAATCCTGACACAAGAAGTTGTACCAGCTCACGGACTATTGGAGTCAACTGTAGCTTGATTGGTAAGATGGAGAGAGAAGAAACATTTAACTACATTTTCAATGTACAATTATTCAAGTTTTTAAAGTGCAGCATAATATTAACATTGTAGGTGTATATTTACAATGTACATGTATAGCTTAATTGTAAGGAAGAGAGGGAAAGAAGAATGACAAAGGAAATTAATAGCTACTTTTAAAACCACCGTTGCATAAAATACTTATACCCAATCTAATGCAGAACTCATACAGTAGCTGTAGTTATGTACTGTAACTGTGCTTCAATCTTTATGGTATTTAATATTATATTCCTTCAGAATGTGATGTAGGTGATGTTCGTTTGGTTGATGGTGATGCTCCTTATGAGGGTCGAGTTGAACTGTGTTTAGGTGGAAAATGGGGAACAGTCTGTGATAGCTCTTGGGATCATAGAGACGCTCAAGTTATATGCAAGCAGTTGGGATATAGCGGAGACTGTAAGTAAAGCAAGAATATGATACTGGCAATCCAACTGCTAGTGCATTAGTATTGCATGAATATACTTTTGCTTCTTTACAATTATTATAATATAATTATTATTTTGACAAAATAACCTATACTTTAGTACAGAATCTTTATCTAAATTTAAGAAGTGTTGCTTGTTGTACTTATTTATTTTACAGATGCTTCTCCTTATCATGCCAATGTTTATCCTGGAGGTACAGTTCCAACGTTCATTGATGCAATGTATTGTACTGGGAATGAGACAAAATGGTCGCAGTGTAGATACAGTACATCATTCACATATATTTGTCGTCGTGATGATGACGTAGGAGTGAGATGCTACAATGGTAAGCTTGAAGATTTTTCCAGGGGCCCGAGGGCCTTTAAACAATAGTTTTTGAATTATTATTATTTAGTATTAGTATAGCACAAGCCCCCTTCAATATTATAAATTTCCCTCCCCTGGGGCAAAATCTAAAAGGATATTTATATGTATGTTTATAAAATTTGTGTTTGCATTGCTTTAAGACCTTTTAGCTTATGTTTGTTCCTACTCCTTATTTTGAAGCCATTTTTTAAAATAATCATGGACCATGCCCATGGTTTCTTCCAAAAAATGGCTCAAAAATTTCCCCAAATTTTTATTACATTTTTTGATACATATTGATGCCCTTATGCTGTGTAGAAAGTTTGAGCTGATTCTGACTTCAATTTATTAAGTTACGGCCATTTTAAGAAAACGCCAAAATTCTGAAAAATACCCAAGGCTATAGCCCATGGTTTTTCCAAAAAATGTCTCCAAAATCACCCCAAAATTTTATTACATTTTTTGATACATATTGATGTCCTTATGCTGTGTAGAAAGTTTGAGCTGATTCTGACAAATATTTTTTGAGTTACGGCCATTTTAAGAAAAATGCCAAAATCCTAAAAAGTACCCAAGGCTATAGCCCATGGTTTTTCCAAAAAATGTCTCCAAAATCACCCCAAATATTTATTACATTTTCTGATACATATTGATGTCCTTATGCTGTGTAGAAAGTTTGAGCTTATTCCAACAAATATTTTTTGAGTTACGGCCATTTTAAGAAAATACCAAAATTTTGAAAAATACCCTGTACTATAGCCCATGGTTTTATTCAAAAAATGTCTCCGAAATCACCCCAAAATTTTATTACATTTTTTGATACATATTGATGTCCTTATGCTGTGTAGAAAGTTTGAGCTGATTCTGACAAATATTTTTTGAGTTACGGCCATTTTAAGAAAAATGCCAAAATCCTAAAAAGTACCCAAGGCTATAGCCCATGGTTTTTCCAAAAAATGTCTCCAAAATCACCCCAAATATTTATTACATTTTCTGATACATATTGATGTCCTTATGCTGTGTAGAAAGTTTGAGCTTATTCCAACAAATATTTTTTGAGTTACGGCCATTTTAAGAAAATACCAAAATTTTGAAAAATACCCTGTACTATAGCCCATGGTTTTATTCAAAAAATGTCTCCGAAATCACCCCAAAATTTTATTACATTTTTTGATACATATTGATGTCCTTATGCTGTGTAGAAAGTTTGAGCTGATTCCGACTTCAATTTATCAAGTTACGGCCATTTTAAGAAAATGCCAAAATCCTGAAAAATACCCTGTACTATAGCACATGGTTTTTTTTGAAAAAATGGCTCCGAAATCACCCCAAATTTTTATTACATTTTCTGATACATATTGATGTCCTTATGCTGTGTAGAAAGTTTGAGCTAATTCCAACAATTATTTTTTGAGGTACAGCCATTTTAAGAAATGCCAAAATCCTTAAAAAATACCCAAGACTATAGCCCATGCTTTTATTCCAAAAAATGGCCCCAAAATCACTCCCATGGTTTTTTCAAAAAATGACTTCAAAATTTATATTACATTTTTTGATACATATTGATGTTCTTAACTTCCGGAATAATATATCAGAATTTTTACTGCTCAAGAAAAATTTTTAATATTTAATAATATTTTAGATTCTGCTCCTGGTGATTGTGAAACCGGTCTTGCTCGACTTGTCAATGGTACCGGAAACTACGACGGTAGAGTGGAGGTATGCATATATGGCACTTGGAGTACAGTTTGTGACAATTACTGGGAAGTGCGTGATGCTACTGTAGTCTGTAACCAGCTTGGATACAATAGCACTGGAGTTGGTAAGCTAATCACTACAGGCCCGATCACAATATCAATAATTAATTTTGTACATGTATATTATTTTTGGTCTAATTTTAAATAATTTTTATAACGAAATTATAAGTACATCAATTAGTAGGTGGATTCTAATTTTTCTAATTCTATTTCCTTTTATTCCCTTTCTCTCTCTCTCTTCTCCCTTAGCTATAGCATACAAGGAGAGTTATTATGGCTCTGGTTCTGGTGAGACATTGCTTCGCTCATTGACCTGCAGTGGAACAGAGAACAGTCTTTTAGAATGTATCCATACAGCAACTATTGGCTCCTGTGATCACAGCAGGGACTCTGGAGTTAGATGTAAAGCAGGAGGTGAGCCCATTATAATGTATAATACTTATTCTGTTGGTCCTTTTAATGGGCTAGCTCTAACATTGTTTAAATAAGGCAAACTTTGAGCTTCTAGCAGTAAGATTTGATAGGTACTTTTCAAAGACTTTTCCAAAATCCCTAAAACATTAAGGAGACTTTTATAAAAGCCTTAGGGAAAAAAGAATAAATGCTACATATGTAGCTGTTGTATAAAAAACAAACTTTGTAGAGATATTTTGTGCTACTGTATATTTATTATTATGATATGCCTACACTGAAATTAACATCTTTTGTAAAGTTATGTATTCGTTTTACTGTATAATGTTCTGGCTTAGACAATAAATTAATTTCATTGTTTTCTAGTTGAGTGTAATGTCAGTGGAGAAGTGAAGCTGGTGGATGGGTCTTCACAGTTGGATGGTCGTGTTGAAATGTGCTACAAAGGACTCTGGCATACTATACCAAGAAGCTTTAGATGGTCAGGCTCTAATGCAAAGCTTGTTTGTAGGCAGTTGGGATATTCAAGATTCAGTAAGCAAAAAAGGATATTATCATGGGCTCCTGTGTATAGGAATAATAAATGATTGTGTGTATTTGCATATTAAAGTAATTTTAAATATAGCTGCTACTTTTTTCCTACTTGCTTATTTCCAACTTTTTTCTTTCTTTTTCTATTTTCTCTCCTCATCAGTTGCTGACGTTATTACACCAGTACCAGGAAAAGGCCCCATATATTCTTCGGCATTTTATTGTACAAGTAATGACAACTACTTGTTGAATTGTGATCACAGAAATTTAACATATGGAAACTATGATCACAGTAGTGATGTGGGTGTTCGATGCTATGCTAATGGTAAGTTGTTTATTACAGTTTTGTAAAGTAACAACTAAAAAAATGTTTGTCTCTTTTTAATTGATGGTTTGTGTGGCTTAAATCAGATACATGCATTATATGATACACATTGTTTACATTCAGTTGTTGCCAAGTATCTATAATACTAAGAATTCATCGCAAATGATAATAATTTTAAAATAATATTATAGTTACTTACTTGTATTTTTTTTCTTTTTCTTTCTGCTTTATAGTCTCCATTAACTGTACATATGGGTCTCTAAGACTAGTCAATGGTTCTACCGAGAGAGAGGGAAGGCCAGAGGTCTGTTGGAATGGAATTGATTGGATTCCATTGTCCAGTTCGTGGTCCAGCAATAACCTACGGATTGCATGTAACAGATTGGGCTTTGGTGCAATTGGTAAGTGTATAACACTCCTACAGTAATGTAGTCAATGTAATTTGCTATTTTTTATTCAATATTTTTTAATAGGTGCAAATGTTACTACTTTTGCTAATAAAAGTGCAAACTTGTCCCTAAGGATGAGTTGCTATGGAAGGATCTCAGTGTATGATTGTGATTATAGTCTAGTGAGGAATGCAAGGCCAGTTCAGTATAATACTGGCATTATTTGTCCTGCTCCAAGTAAGCACACCAATTCATGTATATGTACATGTATGTACAGTATATATATATATATATATATATATATATATATATATATATGTATGTTAATTGCTATTGTGATTCATTTTTTAATTGTTTTGTCTGAGTCTTTCAGTCAAATTATCAATGATTGTACGTACAATAAAGCAATAATACATTTTCAAATTTTAATGCACAGTGTATGTGCACTTGAAAGGCTGCATGTCTTATAAAATTATTATTTTTAGTAATTTCTATAATTAATAATGATTCTATTATTAATAATTTTAAATTAATAATTAATTAATTTTAAATAATGAAATAAGCTACATGCTATTTTTACTTTCTTTTTAGTGTCTAATTGTACTGATGGTGATATTCGTTTGACTGGAGGGGCCTCAGAGTTAGAAGGAAGATTGGAGATATGCTATGGTAAAACCTGGGGAACTATCAATGATTTTGGAGTGATAACACTTGAGTCTGCTGTTGTATGCCGTCAGTTGGGTTTCTCTGATCAAGGTTAGTGATACTGTAAAGGATATTGTAAAGTGTAAAAAACAATTCTAAATTTTTATAATTTTTTAATACATGTACATGTACTTATATTGTGTAGAAAGTTTGAACTGATTTTGAGTTGCTTCAAAATTGGGCCAAAACCCTTGTATAATGTAGTAGTACAGGGTCTTGGACCAAATTTTATCAAACTTGACAAGGAGAAAATTCTCCATTTTTATAATTTTTTGTGATGCATATACATGTACTTATGTTGTGTAGAAAGCTTGAACTGATTATGATCAAAATTGGATTTGTTATAGAATTTTTAATGTTGTTTAAAAATGGGATCGAATTTCTTCTGTTAAAATGGCTATGAGGAAATTCTCAATTTCTTATTTGCTTTTCTAATAATGTATACAAGAGGAATATTGACAATATATATATATATTATTTTTTTTCATTTATAGGTAGCCGTATTTACACCAGTGATATTTTTGGAGGCGATACACTTCCAGTTGCCTTTGATTATTTTGTATGCCAGGGAGATGAGAACAGAGTCTGGGACTGCTCACTGCGTTACTACGGCTTTTTCTTCTTCTTTTCTGATCCTATTAGTATACGATGCCAACCCAAAGGTAAGCTAGTGTGTGTGTGCATAATAAAATTTCAATTTTTTATACATTGTATTGTAAAAATTGTTGTGCTATGCATGTATGTGTTTATTTTCAAGCATATTAGACTATAGCAGTGGTTGTACTTAATAATAATTATTTATTTCCTGCATTAAAAGTATATTTAGTGATAGAATTATTTTTGCCTTTAAAGGAATCAACTCTACCTCTCCTCCTGTCCCATCCTCAACTTCTCCTCCATTAATGAGTACCACAATGACCTCGAGAATAACTTCCACTGCCATGTCAACCACATCAGGGATCCCCACATCTTCTAAAATTAGGAGCACTAGGCCTACACCATCAAGAACAACCAGTACTATACAACAATCTTCCAATACTTTACAACAATCTTCCAGTGCTATACAACAATCTTCCAGTGTTTCTTCATCTGCTACTTCTTCTTCAATTCCACCACTGGTTGAGCCAACAAATGTTGGGCAGATATCTCTTACTGCTACTATCAGTGGAGGAGAAATAACTGCAGGAAACGTACGCATAAGAGAAATATTACTTCTTTTTTCTCTCTTTTTTATCACACTGTTACTTCATTGATCTTTTTTCTATTTTTCTTTCTCTTTTTCTCTACAGCTTGACCGTAATGCTTTCAAAAATGCTGTTGCCTTGTCTCTAAACAGTTACTGCGCAAAACAAGAATGCTCCTCTAGAAAGAGGTAAAAAAAAAAGCAACAGGAATTAATTTTAAAAGTACATTATTTTTTGCAGAGATTCTGACAATCATTTCCAGAATATTGATAGCAATAATGTATATATTAAAGAAGTGAAGGATATTGGAGGCGGTCGTATGACTATTGAGTTTTATGTGATGGTTAGAAGTGGTGTTGGATATGATCCTGATACTTTAGAGGATGCCATTAAAGTGAGTAGACATGTTTTCTTTACGAATGGGGCAAAGCCTGTTAAATTTATGCCCATGCGTGTACATGACATTACTTCCATTCAAAAAATATTTATTACAAAATATAGTATATTTTGCAAAAAAATTACACATTAATATTTCTAGTTCATCTATTATCAATAAATATAAATCTATAAATATTAATTTCTACTCTCCTTATTGTTATTATAGGATGGAATAAATAATGGTGTATTTAGACGTGCTGGTTTCACCACTATGAGTGTACAAAAGACTAGCACCACAACAGTAGCAACTCCTGGAGATACTTCTAAATCATCAGGTCTCTCTGCTGGTGCTTCTGCTGGTCTTGCCCTTGGAATCATCATCCTTCTTATAGTGATTGGTGTAGTTGTGGCTGTCTTAGTTATAATATGGTTAGATTTACACTCATGATATAATTGCAGCTTATGCCGTAAATCAGGAAATTTGTGCGGTGAAATTTTTGTGTTTTAAAATTGTGCTGTGATTTAATTTTTACTAAATAAGACTGTGTCATGTATTATTGAATGTGGCATGTAATTATATGGGTAATCTAATTTTTGCAAAATTCTAATCCAGTAAAATTAAAATCACAAAAAAATTTCCAGATAGACAGTAGCTGTACAGCTTGCATTATCGAGTACAAGCAGCTATTGAATAATTATTTTTCTTGTTTCTTTCACAGGCTGAAGTATAAGACTCATAAATATGACAAAGACGGTTTGGTCGTGCGCAGTGAAAGTGGCTTCCTCAGTAACAGGAGCTCTTGTGTTGAAATGGACACTCCTGGATATGATCAAGACCAGCCTTTCTCTGAGAAAGGGTATGAGAAAATGCAAGAGGCCATGTCAGAAAACACTGAAGGAGAGACAACTGAAGGTGGAAAAACTGAAACCACAGCAGAGACAGCTGAGCTCTAATGATCTTTGTTTTATTTTAATGCACATTTCTTTTACCATGCTGCCTATTATTAGTCTATATACTACCTGAAACTTTTATTGTTTTCCGTTTTGAACAATAATATTGTCACATTTCCCTCACATGTACATGCAGTCTTGCAAGAATTTTTTTGTAACTTAATGCTATTTTTTCTGCTGCTCTGTATAATAATGTTTGATAATCATTTCCTCTGACATTCTACTGTACTTCTGTATTTCTTTTGCACTATTTTGAAAGTAGAATCATTGTTTTGGTAATAATAATATTCATTATTATAATGTTTGCCTCTAGTCTGAGCCACGCCCTGCAGTTTTGCTGCTCAATTCACAAAAGGTAAAGAAATGTCTCAAAAGAGGTTAGAAAGACTTGAGAAGCAACTTCAATCCGTTGAATTTAGGAAAAGGTGTCTTTCTCTTTTGGTTCTACTGATTGTCCTCACTCTCAATGGTAGATCTAATGCTCAAGCATCAACAAGTAGGTCAACCAAGCATAAAATACTAGGCAACTGGTTGTCAGTACTAATAAATGGAGAGAACCAGACCTCTAGTCTATCTTCTAGCATAAAAGGCAACGGCCTTATGTTACATATAGTCCAACTTGCTCTCTAGGAAACAAGCTTAGCTTGTGTCAAAAACACATTTAGAATTGCAGAATCAATACCCATTAATTTATTCTATAGATGGCTCATGTGTAGCTGCTGGTTTTAGTAACTGTTGCAGTGTCGGTAACTCTGCAAGCTGTCATGGGCTTCCCAATGACTGCTTTTGTGACCAACTTTGCTACGAGTTTAATGATTGCTGCACTGACATTGGCAGTGTTTGTGCATCAGGTGAGAGAGATAGAGAGAGGCAATGAATGAGGGAAGGAGGTGAGTAATGATTTGATTTTATTATTTTTAGGTACTATAATTCCTCCTGACTCTGGTAAGCATGCAACCTTAATGTCCTCCATTTTATTGTGAAATTATGAGATGGTGGTTTTACTTATGTAATTTCAAATTCTATCAATAATATTGGACAGTATATAGCTCATAGTAAATGGCTTATGAAGAAAAATTTTGCAACATCCTAACGTTCTTATGCTGATAATTTTTACTGATTGTGCTATTATTATTTTAATAGGCACATGCGCTGCAATGAATTTCACAAAATGCTGCATACCAGGGACTAATGTGTCACCCTCCTGTCATGGATCTGATGGTGTCTGCTATTGTGATCAATCTTGTCACCTCTTTGGCGATTGCTGTACAGACATTGAGCAATACTGTCCTTCAGGTATAGTTAGTTTTTAATCTTTTGCAGCATGCATGGCCATGTACAAGTATAATGATTTTTTTTATTCTCTATTGTTCCTACTCCTCAGTCAACCCATCAAATACATTAGGTGAGCTAGTGACACTGTAATACAATTGTGTCTTTCTATAACTAAGAACTAAATATTTGACCCTATTCCTTTCTTTCCTTAGCACCTACTGTTAGCCCAACTGTCAATCCAGGAGCTGGTAAGCCTATTCAAATAGTTATGCAGGCATAGATACACTTAATGGTTGCTTCTTTAAGGTTCTTGCATAGCTGCTGGTCATTTGTCATGCTGTGTACGATCCTCCTCCAACACATGCACTGGTAGCAATGGACTCTGCTCCTGCAGTGCTGACTGTTATGATAGTGGGAACTGCTGTAATGACATATCTCAAATTGGATGCGGTAAAAATTATAGCATAAACCCCAGACCAAATTTTCTATAATAATTTTGGTTTCTTAACTAAATTTTGTTCCAAATTAGAAAAACACACACCTTAATTGCAATATTTTCATTAATTCTCTAGCTATTCCAACTCCAACAGGAAGCCCACCAGGTACCAAAAGCCATTCAGGTTCTATGCATCCATCAGGCTCTATGCATCCATCGGGTTCTATGCATTCATCTGATACTATACATCCATCTAGTACTCATAGCCATTCTGGTACTATGCATCCTTCCGGTTCCATGCATCCAACTGATTCTATGCATGCATCTGGTACTATGGATCCAACTGGTTCTATGCATTCATCTGATACTATGCATCCATCTAGTAAGTACTCATAGCCATTCTGGTACTGTGCATTCTTCTGGTTCTATGCATTCTTCTGATCTCATGCATCCATCAGGTACAATCATGCACTCAAGTTCTAGACATCCAACTGCATCACATATTAATCCAACATCAACTATTGTTCCAATAGTTGTTACTGATAAGGACTTATTGAGTGTTATAGTCCGAGGATATACTACCAAATTAGTGAGCTATGAATTGCATGTACTAATGTGTAATTGCTTCTTTAGTTCAAAGAAGATAAACAAAGCAACTTCAAAAAGGCAACAATGTACTCTGTCAATGACTACTGCTCTGCTCATTCATTGAGCTGTGAAGGTGTAGGGATTAGATCCAAACGAGAGTGAGTTAACTCACATTATGACTATTGTTAATTAAATCACTAATTTTATTCAATAGTACTAACATTGATGTCAGCAATGTAATAATATATGATTACAAAGATGGAGCATCCAGTAGTATAGTAGTAAGGCTCTATGTTCGATTGGGTCCAATGACAATTCTTAGCAAAGATGCCCTCCAAAAATCAATACAAGTATGTATGCAAAAATAAAAAATTATTTTACTATGAATTATAATTTTGTAGTCTGGCATTCATAATTATAAACACCTAAACTTCACTAGCGTTGAAGTATCTTCCACTGCCACTGAATCGCCACTTACTAGCGATCAGAATAAAAACAATTCTCTTTTAAGCTTTCTAACAATACTTGGCATTATAGTTGGAATTATGTTTGTCATGATACTAGCAGCTGCTGGAGTTCTGATTGTTGTAGTCATACAGTGAGTTAAAAACAATACACACATACACTGTATGATCATGAGTGTAACATTCTATAAATTATTACATAGATAGTATATTTAGATCTATATTGATACCATTTTTAATTTTTAGGAAGAAACAAAGGCCTCCAAATCAATACGAAGCTGTTGAGATATCTGAGAGGCTCTTAAATGGAAACCGTGCTCAACTACAGTTTGTTGTAAATGATGATGATGATGATGATGATGATAATGGAGGAGTCAGAGGAGTCTCTTATGCTTATCTAAAAATGTCACAAGATGATAATAGCAAAAATATATAGCATCAAGACCAAGAGAGTCAACACCATTTTAAAACAAAACATTTATTTGTTGCACATAAAATGATATAGGCTGCTCTTTTACCACAATGACATTCCATTCTTGTATATATAATGCATTATGCACACTGACACATCATGTAATATCAACACGCAAATTACTGTCCATGGCAACTTGTTTAATATGAAACAAGATCTACCTTGTGAATCTAGTATTTACTCTCTATCTTATCTTACACATGTCAATGATGTCCCTCACTGTATGTACATGTAGTTGCCATGCATACATGTATCAGTTTCCATCCCACAATGAATTTGCATTCATCTCAGCATTTAGCCTCACTGACCAGACTTTGATAATGATAATAATATTCATTAACGTGTTTGGCTAGTCTAGATCTAGTTTTGAGCCACGCCCTGCCGCAGTTTTGAGCCACGCCCTGCCGCAGTTTTGCAGCTCACAGAAGATACAGAAATGTCTCAAAAGAGGTTAGAAAGACTATAAAAGCAACTTCAATCCGTTGCATTTAGGAAAGGGTGTCTGTCTCTTTTGGTTATACTGATCGTTCTAACTCTCAATGGTAGATCTAATGCTCAAGCAACAAGTAAGTCAACCAAGCATTATATAATATTAGGCAACTGTTGGTCAGTTCTAATAAATGGAGAGTACCTCTAGTCTATCTTCAAGCATAAAAAGCAACTTGCTAGTAAACAGCTTAATATAACTAGATCTAGCTTGTGTCAAAAACACAGTTTTAGGACTGCAGAGTCAATTACTACTTTATTCTAGATGGTTCGTGTGTAGCTGCTGGTTTTAGTACCTGTTGCAGCGTGGGCAACTCTGCAAGCTGTTATGGGCTTCCACATAATTGCTATTGTGATCACCTTTGCTATGAGTATAATGATTGCTGCACTGACATTGGCAGCGTTTGTGCAGGTCAGTGAGAGAGAGATAGAGAATGAATGAGGGAAGGAGGTGGGTAATGGTTAATTGATTTTATTATTTTTAGGTACTTTTCCTCCTGATCACGGCTTTGATAATGGTGAGCAACATACATCCTCCATTTTACTGAGAAGTTATAAAGTAGTTTGGTTTTATTTATGTGTTGCCCAATAATATTAGACAGTATAATAGAGCCCATATTAAATGGCTTATGAAGAAAAATCTTGCACAGATATCAGCATCCTAACTTCATTATGCAGACAATTTTTACTGATTGTGCTATTATTATCTTAACAGGTACATGTGCTGGAATGAATTACAAAAGTTGCTGCATACCAGGGACTAATGTCTCACTCTCCTGTCATGGATCTGATGGTGTCTGCTATTGTGATCAATCCTGTCACTTTTTTGGCGATTGCTGTACAGACATTGAGCAATACTGTCCTTCAGGTATAGTTAATTTTTCATCTTTTGCATGCATGGCAACATAATACAATTATAATGATAATCTTTATTCTCTTTCATTGCTACTCTTCAGTCAACCCATCAAGCACATTAGGTAAGGTAGTTGCACTGTAATACAATTGAGTCCATAATGTTCATTTGTTACTAATAGGCTCCTGTGTGGCAGTGGGATATGATGGCTGCTGCAATCCGCAGTCAGGTGTCATATGCTATGGATCAAGTGGTCCGCAGTGCTATTGTGATGAACTCTGC